TATATCGGAAACCTATGGACTGAGCAGAACAAAGACACTGAACCCTACTTCTATGCCAACCAGGAGACTTGGGATCATACAGGCTGGCAACCTCTTGTCTCGTCTTTCGTTAATGCTTACAAGACTGGTCAACCAGCTTCCCAGATGACACCAATGAACGGGGATGTTCTCGTCGGTGCTGCATGGTATCGAACCGAGCTTTCGGATGTGAAATGTCCATACGAGGGTAACGATGCCTACTACAACAAACCCGACGGCTGGGATGATGACGTCAACTATCTCTACTACGCTATCATCCTCAATCCCTCCTACGGATCTGGGTACAAGGTAACGGTTTCTGGAAGCACCGAGCACACAGCCCCTCTGAATCCTGGTATGAACTACGGCTATGGCGCTGGAGAGGTTCAAACCGGCGCTCAGCGGATCACCGTCAAGGACCCGAGCGGCAACGTTATTTATACTGCTACCGGAGGAATGTGCGTTAGCGATGGCTGTCCCAACTACATCTACAACGGCAATTACCAAGTCTTACCCTTGAAAAAGGGTAATGTGGACCCAATTTGCAATCAGTGGCCTGATATGGACCATAGTGCTTGTGGCTACGGTACTTGTCATGCCAGTGGTGACGGTAGTAACAACGCGGCGGGCGATGACTTCACCCATGTTACCTGTACTAACCCCGGAGTTACTGATGCTTCCAAAGATGCAAAGTTTCGCTGGGACTCTGTGTATGCAGACCAGGCTTGGACGTGGGGTGTTGATCAGTGGAATGCTAACCCGTTCCCTGGCGGCTTGAACTTTACAGAGCAGGTTCGTAGTCTCCATCGCGACCTAACCGAGATACATGACTAACACTCTTTGATAGTTCAGCAATCTTTTCCACGGCCCAGAGGGTATCGACTGCGGTACCATCGAGAACGACAACCCCTGCGGCTCCAATGTGGTGCAATGCAACGACGTCACGTATCCGGGAGCCTACTTTGCCATCAACTCCATGGAATCCATCTACCGCGTATGCACACTTCATTGGTCGTCACCACTATAAAAGCTTAAGCTGATCACTCAACAGGTTCACTTCAACTTTTGGGACGCACTTGATAGGGCTCAGAACGACATCAATGCTCAAGTTGGAGAGGTCTCTAGCACCTTTGCGCCCATAAAGTCAAGCGATTTCTCCGTGAAGCTTCTTCTCGACATCATTGGTCTTGGATTTTCTCTTGCGGTATCCCCGATGTGGAACTCAGGTTAGTACTGGTAGATTACACGAGTGGCATTATGATGGGCTAACCAGATGTAGCTCTTAAGGGCATGCCTTACTTCAAAGCCAACCCCAACACATTGGCTACTGTCAAGGATTGGGTGAACCCAATGGTAACAAACAGCATTACTATTGCTAAAGACACCCTGAAAGAGTAAGTGATTTCATTTACTAACAGCACTTCAAAGACAAATTGACTTAAGCCTTACAGTGACAGCGCCCTTAGCGCCGAGAACTCCATCTCGACTAGGCTCAATGGTAGGTAGTCCATGTGCTTCTTCTCCTCATGCTTTACTGACGAATTACTCTTTGACAGCCATTGTTACAATCTGGCAAGCTGAGATAGTCTCGATGAACGAGCAACTTTTCAACGGTTCGAAGGAAAATACAGATTTACTCTTCACGGCCATTACGGACGGCCAGATGCTCGAAACGAAGCATCAAGATCTTGGTGTTGACGCGATTCAAGCACTTGTCTCAAAGGCGCTCTTCGCGGAACTGGTTCCACTCGCTTGGCAGCTGTCATCTTCCGAACTTGGTCCAGTGTACGTTGTCGCTCTGCGGTATTCTGGCCTTTCACTAACCTCGCTTCTAGTGTCATCGATTCAGAGCAAGGCTGCGGAGACAAGCCTGATGTGAAGCACATGAGCTCCAAGAGCTACGGTTCATCTGGTGTCTGCGTCGATTCTAAGATGTACTACTTGATCGGATGCACAGGCGAAGCTCGAACCTGCGAGGAGTCCCATGGAAGCTTCAATCCCGGATGCACCGATAACTTTTTCAGTAGCCTTCCAGGACTCGATGACCTGACAGGATCAGAAACAGCCTTTGGTGGTTTGACCAAGGAAGATATCGTGAACGGGTAAGCAGAACCCATACCCCAAACCTTGAGGTTTATGTTGAATCACGCACTGACACCTGGTAACAGAGCCGTCAACAGCTTTGCCGGTAACGGGAATGCTAACGGATGGTCTATGCTTGATCCTTCCAACACAGTTGACGGTATGGATCTAGTCTCCGAGTACAACGTTACAGCCCCAGGAGTCGTCATGTTGCCGGTCTGCACAGCATCCGAGGCCTTTTCTAATTGGTTCTCCTTTACTAATGGAAAGCCTAAGTCGGCCAACTACCCATGCAATTGAGCTGGGCAAAGGGTACGGCGATAGCCCAGATTCACAGATTCGCCAAGTCACGTATTATTATTTTTTTCGTTTCACTCAAAGGGGAGTCGAATATGACATCTCACTTTCATAAAACCTTTCAATTGGCATTTGGCTGTATAGCTGCATTTTAGCTTAGGCATCTTAAGACTCGGATTGTTGAATAAACCATTTCGTTGGATATCATAATACTTAGAATCTTCAACTCAGGTTTTACCGAAAGTGACTATATATCAATGAAAATTAAAGACGGGCCTGTATATAAGGCATGATCGGATATTTGTCGTGTTGAGGTATTATATAGCTCATGAACAGGGGAGCTATGGCTAATGTTCTTGAGCATGTAACGGCAAATATCCATACAACGGAGAAATTCCAAATAGCGACTCAAGCGAAAGACATAAAACAGTACAGCCACGTCTGACGATAATAGGATTAAATCATGAAACGGGGCCAAAGCCTCAGCAATTATATACCGCAATGAAGGGTGCTCTGAAATGTGTAAACCCGATATCCTTGTCAGAATCTATGCCCCTTCCCTCTGTCACTAGTTTGGGATGTGTCGCCAAAATGTTGTCACATCTCTATTGCCCGATTGATCAAAGAAGCGAGGAATGGAAGCCTCATCATTCTCTCTAAAAATATACTCCTGTCGTTCGTTTTGAGTGTCCTTGATGCCCGCTTCTCTTCGATACTGGCAAAGTTGTAACAGGCGCAATCGTTGTCCCTCTTCGACTTCAGGCACGTATTTGACTCCATACGCAGTGGTTTGTTGCTTATCAAGCTCTTCGATTGTCGGGAAGTGGTCAAGACCCTTCTGGCAAAGTCGCGTATCATCCATAAAAACCCACGCTCGTTGTCTAAATATGCTGCGTTGCAAAATCGAGGGTAGAATGCTGAATGGAGGGACGGTATCCAATGAGTGAGTAAGAGACAATCTCTGCACTAAGGAAGATCTCAGCGAGTCATCTAGACAGCTGTTTAAGTCTATCGAAAGCCTGCTGAGAAGGGGAAAGCGATGATTGCGAGGGGACGGATGCTGCGACCTCGTCCAATCGGAAAGTATCGTATACAACCAGCTTCGCATATCTTCGGGCTGTGTCTTGTTTGCAAAGAGTACTAGATTTCTGAGTAGATCAAAGCCGAGGTCTGACAAATCATAAACATATCCTAACAATGCAGAAATACATTGTTGTGGCAGCTTCATATCCTTCCGGGCTGCTATTGGGTTGAAATAAAGGTTATCTGGGTACAGCAGGCGTACTGGGTCGGCGGGGTTGTCTCGTAAAGCACTGGAAGCATGTCTCATCGAGCAGCGTGTAGATATTGTATAAAGAGCCCCATGGACTGCCTTGATATACTCAAAAACGCAACAAATTGCCTCTTGCTCGTAGTTAGCGAGCTCGTAAAGTACCTTTTTGGTAATAGCACTATATTCCCCGTCGTCCAACAGCAATGCCGCCTTTTGTCCATCAATTTTGCAGAGCATGTCATATCTGATAAATGCCCATGCAAGAAGCTGACATTCTGATGAAGTGAGCTCATCTAAAGTGACGTGCTCTGGACAAAAGCTGTGTTGGTTGTAGTAGAGCCCTCTGCTTGGAATTTCGATTTGAGGAAGACAAAGGTAGGCTTGAGGTGGGTTTGAGGAAGTGGCCTTGCTGATGAAGTCTTCCACAAACATACTCATATGGGAGAATAGGTTATAGAGGTTATCAATGGTAGCTTGATCCTTTTTTTCAAAAGGATTAGGTAACGCCTTTGAGGCCCACTGCCTAATGATATATATCATGACGTGATTGTCAGGTCGATTATCGGCCAGCTCCAGATAAAGCAGGCCCAAGGCGTCTTGTAGGAGCTGTTCATGTCGATCTCCATTGAGTAGGTTGACAACATAATGCCGTCTTAGAGTTGTTTTGGATGCCCTGTACTGAGAAAACATGATTGGAGATGCTTGGATGAGTCGAAAAATTGTAGTTGTGGACGAGAACTGAGAAAGGATTCGAATCCTGAGCTCAGGAGGGAGTTTAGAAAAGCAGTCCATTTTTGGTATTGTTTTTAGGCAGACACGGGGGGTTCTTCTGGTGGTGGTGATATTGAAAGGTTGAGGAAAAGAATTGTGACAAGACAGGATCAAGCGCCTTTTTATTGAGCTTGCGATTATGCTTTTTGAGGCCGAATCAGCCTCATGCTGACTCGATTTATCTCTTTTGTGAATCTTAACTTTGCGACGGAACCTTCATAATCTAAACCACAAGAATGGGTTGAGTTTAGTCAGAGTGAACTCTTGGTCACAGCCAATATTAGTGGTTATAGCGAAAGTCTACTTGGTTTCTTGTTAGTTGTGAACGAATGAAAATATCAGCAAGGTTTGGGAGAACAGGCAATGCAGTCGGTGGCAAGGTCCGACCTGAAGTAACGTCGGATTCATGCAGTAACATTCGTTCACAAAACCTTATCAGAATGAGAACCATATATACGAACTACGTACGCAATCAAAGCTCCGATGTGAATCTTATTTAATCACCTCATCATGTATCGCAGGCGATATTTCACACTGCCTCAAAGTTTAGTAATAACAAGGTGTTATTCTTGATACGCTGACTGGATCTATCTTACCAAGATATCGATAGATTCGTCCAAGTCCATACAAGCCGTTGTGGCCTTAACTTACATAAGGCTTTACCTATAACTGTTGCATCATGGCTCAGAGCTCAGAGATCATGGAGAAAGGGTGTCACTTAAGACTGCCTGTCTTTGAGGAGCTAGCATAAGTATCTCAACCGGACTCCCACTCCTTCTTATCTCTCTTGGTATGCCCTTTCTTCCTCCGTGGCAATGGATCAGACTCTGGCTTTTCTTTCCGCTGTGTAGAAAGAGGCGATGCAGAGGGAGGCGGCATCGGCCACCTCGAAGCGATACCCCGAGTGGGCAATTGGTAGCCGAGACGTTGCCCCCGAGTCCCCCGTCCCCAGCCCTTACCGATGGACTACGTGGGCGAATATAACGCGCAGAGATTCTGTCCGATCTTCGACCAACTCGTTCTCGTGATGGGCCTCCGATGATAGGTGCTCCCTCTATCACGGTGGGTCTTTGTCCTGCACCTCGCTCATCCTCTGAACTTTCTTGATCATCGTCGAGGGCTTGGGATACCCGAGGCACTTGACTACTAAGATAGATGTGATTTGTCTCTGACAGCTCACCCAAGTCCCCGTGATCATGGTCTCGTGTCTCAGACGCTCGTGGATCTGTAAGCTGCCATGAAATCTCGAAGGAAATCTCTCCAGTTTGTAAATTATTTGTACCGTCAGGTCCTCGTTCGAAAAGCTTGTGAACATCGCTGTGGGTGTAATCTGTCGATATGATCCGTCGGACGTCTAGCTCTACCCGGCCAAGGAACTTTATACTTTGACCACGTCCTATTCTTCCTATCTCTGACAATATTAATAGTTCGAATAACTTCGGTATATCGCATGGGACCTCTAGGATTATTACTTTATCACTGAAGAATGGTGTTAGCGTCTGTTGATACGGAAGATGTATGCCTTTGCAAACTGTAAACTCACGAAACTAGCCTCTTGGCGCGAAATGTGAATTCTGAGACCTGGCCTCCGTAACTTGCTGCGCATATTAGAGTACCAGGTATCTCTTTTGAACACTGTAAACTCTTGATAGAAACGATGAGGTAACCACTCCCTTCCGACAAGACGCCCCGTCGTTCTGAAACAACTACAACTTCTCTGTCATCGATTATCGTATTCAGTTGAGTCTGCTTTCCCTTCTGGGACCTTTTATTTTTGTGAATAACTTCAAGTGAGGCACCATCCTCAAACGCAAGAGCTCGAGAACCAGACGCTGGTGTATCGCTCCTGTTAAGTTCGTCCGTCACCCGCTCTCGAAAATCAAGAGAAGTACGTTTTTAGCTCAGCATAGACTAGAGAATAGGATCACTCTCGGGACCGCTAGTGTGGCCTTTGTAAGAATAAGTGTCGAAAAATAGGATGGCTCTTTCAAGTTCAGTATGAGCATCTCCCATGAAATTGACTCCAACATCTTGGGGCACGTCTGGATTCCAGAGCTCCCAAAATTCACCAGAGCATAGCATATCCATCGATAGCGCGTATTCCGCTTGCCTCATGTCCCGAATTGTGCTTCTACTCTGAGGTCGCGATATATCAATGCTATCGTTGTCGCTCGTGATATCTTCTGGAATTTCGCCTTCGTAGCTGGGTAGTGACTTGAGGGCAAGGGAGCGCAAATGCCCGGCCAGGTGGTCCTCAAGACGCCCATCGACCTCATCTTCATCCTGGCCACAGAGAGGGCATGATGGGAACATCTTTGGTATCTTACGACTGTTTCTATTTGCCATGATCCGGAGCTGATTGTCGTTGAGCTTGCTGTTGTGAACATCTCGCATGTGAGCAATATACTCGGCACTGGATCTAAACGGGTCAAGGTCCCGATGAGAAGCGCAACGCCAGAACCGACGATGTTGTTGCAGGTGACTTAGCCACTCGTCACTATGGCTGTACAGTACATCTGGCTGATCGCAATCTTCAAAAAGACATATATAGGCATCCAAGTCGCTGATCACATGGTTCCTAGGAATTTGGTAAGACAGCAAATTCCCATGATGATTCCAACGTAAAAAGACTTACTGCCACTCTCGATCGTCAAAGACTTTTTGAGCTGGAAGAGCATGAAGACAATACGGACAGGTAATATCTATAAGACCCACCAGTTCTTTTTCCGAGAAGCCTTCTGAAAGTGAGCTTGCCCCATGTTCTGTAACATTCATCTGTTTTTTCAGTTGCTCATAGCGCTTTTTGAGGGCCAACCCTGGGCTAGGGGGGAATATTAGAGCTTCATGTGAACCAAGAGCAACTGTCCTGCTTGCTGATACAACTGAAGGACTTGCAGCTGCTTTCTGAAAATTTCCTGGCACCAGAGTTGTTGCACTTTTGACTTGGGAAGGTGTTGCCAAGACTCTTCTCGACCTCGTGTTATGCTCTTTGGGCTTATTCTTCTGCGTCTTGGAGTGCTTGGACGATGCAGCTGACTGGGCATTTGGTAGCTAGACTGGTTTCTCGGCTTCTGGTTTCTGCGATTTTATTGTTGTGCTTTCCTGGCGATACCTTCTGTATAAGTTGCGTTTCCTCCGAAGAAGCATTGTCTGAGTTAGTCTATCCTGAAGAACTTCGCCTAACCCGGGGAATTTGTTATAAATATGATGTTTGAAGTGTTCCCGTAGTATGTCCTCCACATCGTTTCCTTCATCGTCTTGGATCTGAAAGTTAGTTGCTTTGAGAGCTTGGGTATCCTTGCTTGCCCGACGGATCGTGTTGGAAATCTTGTTGAGTCTGCTGATCTCTGATGCTGCGTCCACAAGTCCCTTCTGGAAACCTTCGTTTGCATTGTCTTGATTCGAAGACTCTATCATGGAAATCAAGATTGGAGATAGCTCATGGAGCTCCGGCGTTACAACGTTACATCACTACCTCTGCCTTGCCAATATTGAAATAGATTTTACTGCTATATACACTGCTATTATGAGAGGATTCCATGTCTCAACGCCCCTGTATGTTATGAGATAAGATATTCTTGCTATCGTCTCACCTTTACCCCGCCTCGTCTCAGCCGCACATGCACCATTTACCGCCCACTGGAATCACGCCAGAACTTGTCATCAGAAGTCAACCCTAAAGTGAAGGTCTTCTATAGCCACTTGACCTACCACTGTTTACGATTACAAGAAGCTCTTACTAGAGCGCGACAAGATGCATCATGCCTCAATAACGATTGTCTCGACCGAGCGATCTCTCATTTTGGGGTATTGATACCAGAAAGCGGCTTAGATGAGTTTCCGGCCTTTTCCGTGACTCTTGAGTTTCGACTTAAAATGTTGAGCCTTTGGTGGAACGAGACTTGCCGACGAACAGATGACGCGAAGCTAGACTTCGTAAGTCGTTGGTTGAGACAAGACATCACAGAAGAAGAGAGATTGGAAGTGGATGAAGCACTGGAGACGTGCGCTGATGACCTGGATAAGCAGCTCCCCGAAATATCAGTCCAGAAGAAATCCAATGATTTCCCGACTCTGCACGATGGTGAACCACCCTTTGCAGTTTGGAAAGTCGCAAAATCCATCTTCGATACACTTTTATAGTGCAAAAGTTGCTCGTGTCCTTCAGAACACGAGTTCAAAGCCAAGCTTGAGTTAGGGACGTATCGATCGCGTGAGAAGAAGCCAGTCCTGAAACCTAGTCGAAGGCCGAATCGGAAACACGATGGAGACAGTGACATGGGCGGTTTTGAGATGGATATGTTTCTATGTATGGAGCATGATTGGCACGAGTTCCGAATTCAGGCTGCGGAAGAAACAATTGTCCGCTTTAGTGGCCATGAAGAGGCTAGTTCATGCCCAGAAAGGAAGACTCGGAGTAGCAAAAGGATCGAGAGGCTTTGCAAGCCAATCATAGAGATCCGAACAAGACCCTTGCAGCGTCTTCTTGTACGATTGAAGAGCGGCCACCTATTCGAAGTGCGGCCCGAAAAGAGCAACTTCCAGATTGACAAGACCACGGAGCCTATATCTCTTTCCGGATGCTTTGACGAGAGGAAGGACTTCTTTACCGAGAAGACTAAGAGAATTCTTTCGCTTATCATAGGCTATACCGTACTACATCTCTACGGCACGTCATGGCTACAGCCTGGTTGGGGCTCGTCAAACATCAAGCTCTTCCAAACGACAGCCTGCAAAACACCTCTCAGACCATTTGTTGAAGCCCAGCTGCGCAAGACAGATGACCCCGGGGATTACGAAGGTGAATGGACCCAAGAATTCGACTCTGGGCATAGCTGCCCCGAAATGGTTGCTTTGGCGGTGGTGTTGATGGAGATCTACTTCGTGAAACCTTTTAGACAGCTCGCAAAGATGCACAATATCCCTCTCATCGATACTAGAAGTGGTCGGATTACCCTGATGGACGTGGACCAGGTATTCTGGGGTGATGAAGAGGGGGAAGAAGGCTGGCGAACCCAGATCCCGGAGGACTCCCCTTTGCTGGAAGCTATCGACAATTGTCTTGATGGAGAGATATGGGAGGACAATGAAGGGGATCGTTTAGATGTTGAGGAACTCAGAACTCGGATATACGAAAAGGTTGTTAGGCCGCTAGAGCTTCATCTGAGACACGGTTTCAGTCAGATCCAACTTGATGGAGTCGACCAATATGCAAAGAGTCTGGACTTTGGGAAATGGGGCCAGGTAATTACGACGAAAGAGACAGACCAATCACTCCCTTTGTCCGCAGGGCAAACCACGAGCCGCGTTCCATCTCCAGCCGTGCTTCTAGCACAAGGCCAGTTTGACATCAACGCGATGTTCTCTCGATCATTCCAGCAAGTCTGGCATTTGCAGGCCCAAGCACCCTCTTCACTATTCCATCTTGGCTATGCGCTAAGTGACGATAACCTAAGCGAGATGTCTCAATTCTTTGATGACCATGTCAATGATAGGGATAAATCCGTGGCTGAGGCTGAGTAAGTCGTTGCGCTCAATTCGACCACACTCAAACTAACACCTGGTAGAACTGAGAAGTACAGAACTTGGCGATCGGAGTATGAAGATGTCTACAAGACATTTGTAGGGGACTATATTGATCAAAAGCCAACACAACCTGTCAAAATCGCCATTCTCGATACATGTATCGACAGAGATCATCCTTTCTTGGAACTATATGAGGATAACATGAAGGGGAAGAAGAACTTTCACAATGCTTCTCAGAAGAATGTGCCGGATACGAATGGGCACGGGACATTCGCAGCGAACCTGATTCTAGATTACGCAAGAGACGCGCATTTGTATATTATCAAGATCGCGGACAAGAAGAATGCTACACCTGATGCCGCTATTGTGGCAAACGTGAGTATCATCGTAGAGCTAGTGATGAAGAATGGACTAAGCTAACATCATTAGGCGATATACCATGCCGTCGACAAATGGGCAGTAGACATCATCTCCATGTCTTTCGGCTGGCCCTCCCCCGATATGGTTGGTCACGACGCCCTCGAAGACGCCATCGACCATGCATACTCTAAGAAGGTACTAATGTTCGCTACTGCGTCCAATAGCGGCGCTCGGTTGGGCAGAGCATACCCAGCGAGCAACCCGCATGTCATATGTGTACACTCCACAGACACGAATGGTGAAGCCTCCGGCTTCAGTCCAACAGCGGAACCTAACTCTATCAACCTCGCAACAGTTGGCGAGTCCGTCGAGTCAGCATGGCCAACACTTCTGAGTCAAGACTCAAGGTGCCTGCAATCTCGATCGGGAACGTCATATGCCACCCCGATCATGGTAGGTATTGCAGCATTCCTCTTACAATATGCAAGCCTCCATCTTCCTCAGAAGCAGACACTGGCTTTGAAGAGGAGAGAGAAAATGGAGGCTTTGTTGAGGAGATGCGCGATTAGAGGACCAAACTATAAACCACGGGATGACTACTTTTATGTCCATCTTAGTTTGCACAAGCATAATCTGTTTGGAGGGGAGCTGATTGGGTGAACTATGAGATTTCAAGAGCGCTGAGAACATGACAGTATAGCAATACATGATATCATTTGACCTGCAAACTTTTGACCGTAGCTTTTGTAGTACTATCACCCATCATCTGAGTCCTCGTCCTTTGGAATGGCACAGAGAACCTCCTCGTCCCCCTCCATTAACGTCTTCTCCTCAAACCCTTCATCCTGGGCGCTGGGTTCTTCAACCGCAGTGATCTTGAGGCCGGTTTGTTTGCGCTTCACATCTTGAAGATCAAGGTTAGCTCCTTTGGTATACTGATCTTCGCTCTTAACCTTGCCAGTCTTCTTCACTCGGACCTTGCTAACACGAAAGGCAAAGACAAAGTTACCTCCCTCCCACTTGGTGCCTTGACTTGTACCAGCCTTTCCCCCAATGCCAGGGCCACCGCCAATAGGTACAGTACCACCACTCAAGATTGTGCCATCGACTTCCACAGAAAAGTTTCCACCGACAGTGCGCGACTCGAGCGTAGTAGCGGAAGCCCCGGTAACAGATTTCAGTCCAGTGATGATGTAAAGTGGTTTAGAAGAGCCAGATCGCTCTAGCCATTCGCGAACATCCCTAGATTCGACACAATTCTGGAGATATTCTGACGTTGGAATAAACTCAGCGGTCTCCAGAGTCTCAAATGTGAATATTTCCTGATTACTGATGTCGTCAGCTCGTCAATCCGTCGACAAAGATGCAAAACTAACCTTCTTTCTGCCTCAGCACCAATGTCTACGCCAAACCCAAGGACACTGAGAAACTTGGTCAGGATTGAGAACTTTCCGCTTCGCAGTTTCTCCGTCGTGTATTGAACTTTCTTCTTCTCGGTTTTGAAGACGCCTGTTTCTTCAGTCGGTGGAGAATGGGTGAGGGGTATGTGAGGCTTCTTGACAGAGCTGATGACGTTGCCGAGTTTGATGGGGCCTTCTGGAGGATAGTCCCATGTTGGAGCGTAGAAGTAGAAAAAGTCTCGATTGGCCATTATTCAGAACTGATTATGTGTCTCTGAAAAGCAGTGAGGATATCATCGCGATATATAAGAATAGTGAAGGGTGAATTAGGCATCAACAGGGTGCAGGGGTTTGACGCCATTCATTGGCGGCAACGGATGGCATAGCCTCATGAGGCCGCCGAATCCAACTTCTGAGGATAGATTCTTGCCCTATTGACTTGTTTGGGGAAGAAAAGCAAGCGTGAAAATTTAGTGAACGTGAAAATCTAATTTCATTGCCTATCTCTTTGTATATAGAAGCAGTCGCCAACTTTTAGACCTCCTGTACTTGAAAGCTCCACTGATTTCTGATCTTGACCGTCCCTGTAAATGCGATATCTCTCAGCAACATTGACCATCTTAATCCTTTCGCTTCTCGATCTTAGGTAGGCCAAGCCAGATTATAAACAGAACAGCCAGAATAGCGAGAATAATTGGCTGAAGAACCTGCACTCCCTTGGCCTGCGCAATCGCACCAACCGCAAAGGGCAGCACAGCCGCACCGCTTCCACCAAACGCAGCGGCGAAGCCGATTGCGCTGACGTGTAGATGTCGCGGAAGAAGCATTGTAAGTGCAACAATAACACAAGGGAACATGGGTCCTAAGAAGAAGCCCTGCAGCGAAACTGCCACGGCTGAGACGTGGAATTGCGGCACGAGCCAAAAAATGAGCTGCAGGCCCATGGTGATGGGAATGAAGATCATGAGTGACAATTTGACACCGATCTTGGGAATCACCATGCCTAAAACCAGACGTCCGATCGTGATGCCGAGCCAGAAACCGACAGCTGTCATTCCAGCGTCGAACGGGTCAGCGTTACGAACACGCAACATGAATTGCACGACCCAGCCGCCAAGAGCGACTTCGGTACCAACGTAACCGAGAAGGAAGAAGGCACAAAGCCAAACAACACGAGCATGAGGCTTGACGAAGAGAGCGGCGCGTGTCCCTTCGTTGCGGGTGCCCTCAGTGTGAACAGTCTCGCGATACTTCTGAGCTGTCTTGGGCCAGAAGGAGTAGGTGAGAGTTGCGGTCTCCAAAACAGCCATGCCCAGCTAAAATACTCATTAGCAACCGTGTAAAATGCAATGGATGTAAAGAGAACTTACAAGCACGTAGTAAAAGTCATACCAGCCCAGATTGGCCTGAGTGATCATGCTAGTCGCAATAAGAGGGCTAACCGTTCCTCCAAGTCCATAGCTCGCATGCATAAAACCCAACAACTCATTAGACCTTGCCAGATTGCCGATGTATGAGTTCCAAGCAGCAAGTCCAATGCCATTACCGAGACCTGCGAGAACATATGCCAAGACAAGAACAGGATAAGGCGGATGCTGCGATAAGATAAGATATGTCAGCGCGTGGCATCCTCCGCACATGAAGGCGATCCACCGTTGACCGATGTTCATGTGAAGATAATTGTTGACAGCTGCTGAGACGATGAATCCGACGAACGGCGAGAGGAAGATGAGTGAGACAACGAGGTAAGAGAGCTCGTAGTAAGTCTCCAGATAAGGGATCAAAGCTCCGTATGCAGCATCGTTGGCGCCTGAGACGAAAAGACTCCAGTAGACAGCGCCGACTCGAAAGGCGTTGCCAATCGGTTCATTCCACTTCTCTACAACGAGAGTGGCCCTCGGAGGTGCAGCTTCATCGCCTGAGCCAGTGAATTGATCAGACTCATGCGCATGATCATTTTGCGATCCCAGCCGACGCCCAGCTGTTGATAAAACTGGGTTCGGCTGTTTTGGCGTTGAGCCGGCTTCGTGAGTGAGACTGAGAGTCTCGAGTTCAAGAGCCTGTGTAGGGTAAGACCTGGACGTAGCCATCGTGAACTGAACTGAACTGAATTGACACCTCAGCTTTTTGAGGTTGTGCAGTTGAAAGGATCAATTGACGAGCCAAGAATTTGCTCAGAGGGCGCATAAAAAATCTTCTTGACTCATCGGCGAGAATGGCGGGGGATTGCGCTAACTCACTGGGGTGCTTATCGGAGCCCAGATGTGGCGAACTCGGGCTCTACAGCACCGAGGGCTTCTGAAGGCAACAAAAAGGCGCTCTATTCAATCGATAATGCTATGCGACAGCGTTCTATGTATACATAAACTCCGCAATAACTCCATTGATACTCCAAACCATAGATCCAAGTAAGCAGAATGCTTTTCCTCATACACTACTGTTCGCTATTTGGTAAGGAATCTCCAGCGGGGCTTTTGGCGCCTCAACCACTGAGTGTCCACCATCAAACACTTTCGGGATCTCATGTCCCGGGCTCATCAGATTGAGTAGCCACATAACTAATAAAATGCATATTACCCTAATTTTGGGTGCTGAGAGATCTGAGAAGCCTGGGATCTTTTCCAGCCAAGTCCAGAAACGAAGTCTGCCGAGCTTCTCATCTTCTGCGCCTTGATGCATAATGATCCTGACGATGAATCCCGTTGAAACAGCAACCGAGTGACAGATCCACAGAAATATTGGTACGATAATGACCAGAGTCCTCCATCGGTCTCCCATGAGCGACCCATCGCCGAAGAGACCATCGACAATGAGAACACCATCGGTATCGGCCGCGAGGAGGATGTGAAACTGGAGGATGTAGGTCTCCAAAGAGCAACGACCTAGCCAGGCCATAGCTTTGGAGTGATAATTGCGAACAGGGCTCGAGACATTCCGCATGGCGATAAAACTTAGTACTGGTACAAGAGATACATATGGATGCCATTTCGCGTATGCAACCATACGGAGACCTGAAGTCGCATAAAAGTAATGTATCGTGGCGAAGACGCCAGCCAGAGCAAGCGTTACACGAAGCCCTAGATGAATAGGCATCTTCAAGTGCCGGTTGGCAACGGCTGTCAGCATACCAACATAGACGATGAGCATGTCGAGTGTGACACGGCGATACCATTGCTTGTAACCCCATTGGATCTTGAAGACAGTGTTGAGAATCCCAAAGACCCAACGCGTAAGAGGCGTCCCCATGAAGATCATCGACACAATGAGACAAGACATGCAGATCTTGGCCAGCATAACCTGCAAATCGCTGTTGTACCTTGGTCTAATCGCCATTGTCGCGTAAACGACGAGGAACCAGAAGGACACGAGAGGGGAGAAGTAGTAGAACATGTAGTCTGTGTCCATAAAGTACGCGAGACAACAGCTGAGTATGTTGAGGCGCAGTAACGTGGCTGCGACACGGTTGAATGAGAAGTCGTTCTTGTTCCGGAAATAAAGTGTATGTCCGTAGCCGGTTTGGAAGAGATATGCCGCCACGCAGACGCGGATGAAGACGTAGATCGAACCGCCGTGAGCGCCAGTCCAGTGATATATGAGAATGAAGAACTGCATCCATCCTTTCCACTCATCGGTCTGACCTCGTGAGAGGAATGGTTGGTTTGACTCTTGCATGTCTACTGAGAGGTCCTCTGGAAAAGGTGACTTGATGCGACGAATGGTAGCTAACATGATTGCGATACAAGGAATGCAAAGCGCGACTAAATCTTTGAGTTGCCAAAGCTTGCTACCCTTTGCCATCATCTGTGTGCGATCAGCGTAGTAGCACATCAGAAGTGCTAGTACAAGGCATCCGGCTTGCATGTTGACCAGCTTGAAGCGAGGCTGGTCGGGACTTCGATCGGCGAACATGTCCAACATCTCGCAAATGATGCAAGCAGCCAGATACACGATTCCAAATGCCACAACGGAAAGTTGCACCAATGGCTTGACACCATAGTCGGTACAGCACGTTCTTGAATAAGGATACGGCTTCATTCGATCCAACTTTGCGTTGCATCTCATGTTGAGAAGAATATTGGCTCGAAGCTCTGCGATGTGAAACTTGACATGAAAGCCGGTGCGGAGGGGATCGCGCCAGATCTTATCTTGACCTTCGACAAGATTGGCGATAGACCAGACAAACGGAATGTTGAAGTCATCCTCCTTTTCAAGAAGCCAATCCTGCATCTCGATCACTTCTTGCGCCCTCCGGCCTCTGTCGATAATCCTCTCGGTATCATTACCCAAGTATCGCGGTCCAGCGGGAGGTGCATAAAAGATCTGGTTTCTAATACCATCTCGTGGGTCCATCGGTGCGCCGAACCAATCTTCATGTGGTGTATTATCGCCAATGAATTTGTCAACTTTTGACAGATGATCCTGATATGCCGAGAAACGATCATCCCAGGGATCAAGGGCGGTAGAGTTGATACCTCCATAGTGAGGGTGAGTATACCATGCGCCTGCAGATATGTAGATCAATGCCGGGCCTTTCTGATCTTCAATCGTTGGAATCTTTGTCTTCTCCTCTGCATAAGTTTCGAGGTGGCTGACGAACTGTTCTCGACCTGGAACGCCATGTGATGAGAGATAGACGTTTGCGACGCGTTCTATCCTTTGACCGTGATATGTCATGTTGAAGGATGTCGTCTTGGTATACAACCTGGCTGCATTATCTTTTTGGTACTGCTTATTATCGAGCTATCATCTTGTCAGACCAAATCATCTCTAGCGCCTCTTGTGATGGCTTACCATGCTAGCTATGGCAAGGCCAAGATTCTTGGACGTCGAGTCGCCAACGATCACAATTGGACGGCCCTCAGTGCATCTGCGGATGTCTTGCGAGTTGTAGTGATTGAGGATACATCCATCAGGCTGCCATTGCTTAAACGGATCCCGATTTCCATGCTCATCACGAATCGGGTCAATCCATCGACCTGTTTTCTGAACCGCGCGACAGCGATAAGGATCATCTCCAGGGAAGAGAGTTTTGAACGCCACCAAGGCTAAGAAAAGAGTTGCAAAAACGACGGGTATCGATCTGCTCCGTGATTTGTTCATCTTGTCGTACGGCTTGCAATAAAATGTCTTTGTTGGTTGCTCATAAGCAGATCCATCAACCACGCTTTAAGATTGCTGGGAGACTGAAGTTGTGAAGAGGCCGCGTTGCGCCAAGTGAAAAGGGGATTCAAGTGAATTCCTACCAAAGCCTTCCTTGCTCTAACCTCATTGTGGCCTCGTGCGCAGATCGGAGATAATCGCTATTTAAATTGGCCCCTCGCCTAAAGCGCCACAGACCCTCATTGCTCTAAAATGTTTGGTGACAAGCGCCCAAATAATGAAGATGCAGAGTGTTTAATGGTCAACGTGGGATCTTCTCTCCTAGAGCTTAACGTTAACAGTGTTAGCTTAGCGCTAACTAAAAGTCGCTTGCATGGAGGGCTACTCTAAGGAGGTCACCCCTGTCTTGGCGCAACGGAAGGCTCAGGCTAGAAAGCTGCATCTCGAGGTCGAATGTCACTGATTTCCACGCTGCTAAACTTGAAAACCTTAATTTTGGATATAATCAAGCCGGTATGTCATAAAGCTAAATCCAAGCGGAACTATTACTTGGCAGTGAATATGCTAAACTCACTGCTTCTAATCAGTTGATGACCGTGCTGAAGGTCCAGCAAATGGTCACTTGAACGGCCGAGGCTAGAGGTCAAACGGAAGAGCATTACAAGCTTGCTTGGCGTTGGAAGACGATATCGGCATGACTATTGAGAGACAATCCCGACTCTCGTTCTCTGACTCAAGATGCGAGTATGGCATGCGACTGTTGCGTATTTGGAGTATCAGGTATCTCGCGGAAATATTAACAAGGTTCATACAAACTCATTGCTTAATTCTGCAGACTAGAGGAAAACCAGGATGGTCAGAGATGGGAGGTTTAGTGGCGTGATGAGCTTGTTTTGAATCACCAGGGAAGAGTGACATTTGAGACATCAACGGCTCGCGGCACGTCAGCCCTGACTTACTGCTTACTAGTTCGCTAAGCCTGTTAGATGCTCTCAGCAAACTTGAGAAGCTCATGAAAGCATCAATACTATCGAAGAGAAGTCTTGTTGGTATTTTGCTCATGATTAATGTCTCAGAAGGAAGTTCCTTGCTGAACATCACTGGAATCAAGACATGCTACTCATCGCATAGCTCTCCAATAAGTTTATTTCGGCCAAGAGTTCGAGGTTTAGTAGCCAGGTACTATATACGCGACATAGAGACCATTCTAAGTCAAAAGCACTTGGTGAATCTCAGTCGTGGCAAAACAAGCCCGAAGGAAGAATTCTGGCCGTCAACATGATGCTAAACGAATGACGAATTGAACGAGTGAATGGTATTGAAGAAAGATTGTTAAAAATTCCTCACTGTTCAGAAGCCGAGAGATTGCTCTTTCTGAGAAATTTCTTATGGCCGCGACTGAACAGGTCTTGGAGAGGCTTTGCGCGCTATAGGTAACTAAGGTATTGACCGACCTTGCCAACGAAGGCTATAATTTTAAGCTCCAGTCTCAATACTTACTTTGAAACGTGTGCAAACTTTTCGATGAATCTGATTAGCTTAATATAAACTTGTAAGAGCATCTGGGCCCTATCTTAAGGCGTGGATTGCATCGTGTTCTGTCAAAACCGTCACATTAGTGGTTCACTAAGCCCCGCGGTTTGAAGTCGCGGCGGGTTCTTGATAGATTCTAGACCACTAAATAAAAGTTTATCACATCACCATGCATAGCTATTCGTGAAGTCTCGTGAAACAATCATGAAATGATTACGCGACTCAGAAAGTAAAACAATCCCTACCAATCGACAAAGGGCTGTGCCTCTCCCAGGAATGTGATGTTGCCTGTCTCACTCAAAATCGAGACTTTCCCTACTAGTATTCCCGTTCTACATCCAAGCACCTCGGCAAACACTCTCTCATCGGCGAACGGACAAGATCTTCTCCCGACGTCATCAGATTTCGATGCATGTTTTTCCGCTTATTCCGTGCCATGATGCCGGCGCGCCATGCCAATTCAAGATCTTCCGTTACATTTTCCCCGCAAGTTTCATCACCGCTTCCCCAGATTCCGAAAGCTTGACCAAATACAGTAACCTCAACGCCGGTCGTTGAAAGCTCCTGAGGTTTAGCCTGTTAATTTTTAAGGGCTTCAAGCATGGCAGATGTAAAAGGGCCGGTGATACGCCGACCGGGGTCAACTTCTGGTTGCCGAAGATAGTATATGGAGTCATGTAGTTTACCATGAAGTTGAATGACTAGGTAGATGATCTGACAGGTTTTCAAGATGGAGTCGATATATCGTATGTTGTTGTTGGCAGCACTTCTGCCTTTCTCTGTTGCCGTAAGTTCCACGGTTGATCTTGGGTATAGCAAGTACAAAGGCAACGTACTTGACAATGGCGTTTCGGAATGGCTTGGTGTTCGTTATGCTGCCGCACCAGTCAAGGACTTGAGGTTCAAGCTTCCTCAAGATCCTATCCGCATGAGAGCGGTCCAGGATGCTACCAAGGTAGGTCACGCCACTTCTCCGTCGGCCCAATGACCCCTGCTAACACTCTGCAGCGGGGAACAGTATGCATCGGAACAGATGCGGATCCCAAGATCATTGGCGATACTCAATCTGAAGACTGCCTCTTCCTCAACATCTGGGCACCAACAAAAGCCTCAGCGAAGGACAAGCTTCCAGTATATATCTATATCCAAGGCGGCGGCTTCAACGGCAACTCAAATGCCAACGCAAACGGCACTTCCCTTGTCGTTGCCGGCGACCTGGACATGATTGTTGTTTCCATCAACTATCGCGTTGGTGTATACGGTTTTCTCAACGATGCTGACCAGGTCACACCAAACGTCGGTCTCCACGATCAGCGGAAGGCGTTCCAATGGGTCCAGAAGCACATTTCCAAGTTCGGCGGTAACCCTGACCATGTTGTCATTGGTGGCGAGTCTGCTGGTGCTGCGAGTGTCAGTCTGCATCTCAGCGCTTATGGAGGCAAGGATGAAGGTCTTTTCCACGGCGCTATTGCCCAATCTATCTCGTTCGGATCTCTCCTTACTGAGAAGGAATCTGTGTATCAGTTCAACACTCTGGCGGTGCGACTAGGCTGCGTTGGCGCGAAAAAGGATATTCTTCCTTGTATTCGTTCCAAGTCGCCCCAGGAGATCCAGAAGATCAACAAGAACCTTCCGAACCTCGGTAGCACTACGCCACCTCTGTTCATGTGGACTCCCAGCATTGACGGAAAGCTCGTTCCTGATGTCACCTATCAGGTTTATGAGGAGGGGAAGTTTGTAAAAGTTCCTCTGATGACTGGCGATGACACCAATGGAGGCACCGACTTTACGCCTGTCAACACATCTTCTTTGGTGGAAAGCAACGAATTTATGAAGGCCAACTTTCCCTTCCTGACTCTGGAGCAGTTGGGGCAGATCAACGAACTCTATCCCAACAAAAACGAGTCTTGCCCCAATCCTGGCTGCTGGTGGCGTCAGGTCAGTGACGTCTACGGAGATATGAGATACATGTGCTCATCAATGTATATCTCAAACGCACTGACACTCCATGGAGTTCCCAACTCTTGGAACTACTGGTACGACGTAGAGGACCCAGCTCAGATGGCCGCAGGTTATGGTGTCCCTCACGTCGTGGAGAATCAAGCTGTATTTGGACCAGGACCGGGCTCGCCAGCCAGCTACCTCAATGGCGGGAAGAATGTCCCCGTGGTCCCCGTGATCCAAGCCTATTGGACAAGCTTCATTCGTACCTTGGATCCCAACACGCATCGTGATAAGAGTGCTGTCAAGTGGGAGCAATGGACTGAGAAGGGCCGTAAGCGAATTAAGTTTGAGACTGGTGGAAAGACCAAGATGGAGAGTCCTAGCAAGGATTTGCAGAAGAAGTGTGATTACTGGGCCAATATCGGTCCAAGTATTCGGCAGTAAATAAGATAGGGTTGCAAGGCGCGAGATCAGATGACACGTCTTGCGGAGAAATCACCTAAGTTCTCTGTGGTGATATAAGCCCTCAGCCACAAGTGTCGACTGCAAATAACACATCTGGGTCACAACTTAGACATTATACCGCGGAGAAAGCAACACTCCAATATCAAATTTAAGTTTTTGAAACACCACGGTGACAAAGACTACCGTTTGCCTGTGCAGAGGAATAGCGCCCTTTAAGACGGCTAGATTATTCTGTTGGCTATTCTAGTCAATGTTGGGGTTTTCAACATTAGAACCGAGTTTCTGAGCACAATATAAGAGCGATCGTCCCCTTAGTCTGCCATTTGAACTTCCTTTTCTTCAACCTTGCTCATATCATGACCAGGAATTCATTCCACTTATCTCTTCACTCTACGAAATGCCACTATGGCTTTCATACAGGAGCTGCCTAATGAGCTCATCCTAATGTTGGTAGTTGACATGCCGCTATCTGCTTTCGCCGCTCTACGACAGACATCCAAACGTTTCAATGAAGTCACGATTGCCACCTTTGGGAGAAGATTTTTTCACACCCGCAATATCATGCTCCATGAGAAAAGTGTCCAGAATCTTGACTCCATCGCGAAACATCCCGTATTTGCATCTTGTGTTCGCAAGGTTGGCTTTTCACCCACCCGCGTGAAAAGTGACTGGTATGGGTTTGAAGAAGAATGCGAGGCCCGTCGGCACTATGGAGGTGAAGAACAACATTGAGCTCTAGGAATAAGGATGAAGAAGTACTAACATTAAATTAGTAGAAGAAATGATATTTGAGAACATGCGTGGTATACCTCAACGACTGCCGGCCACGTCCTTCATATTCGACGTAGACCAGGCCTTTGCGAGACTCCCAAATTGCAACACGATCTCGCTCACTAATGCCCAGCGACCTTGGGGCTTACGTACACTTATAGCAGACGAGCTTTCGGAAGTTCAGAGTTACGAAGAGTCCCAAAAGTTCAAAGGCAGATGGTTTATCCGATATTTGATCGGGTATATCTTTGCCTTGAGCATCAAATTTGACATGGAGAATATCGAGATCTTTGCCGATAAGGTCTGCCACAAACCTTGGAAAGGGTTGCCTTGCCAGTCTTGCAGCACTATCGGGATCTCTGATATCTGTATGGCACGGCCTGCTGCTAGCTCAAACCTGAAGTCCTTGAAAATGACCGCCCACACGCATTATCGGGCTTGGCCAAACGACGCGTTCACCCAGTTGATTTCTTGCTTTCCCCAGCTCTCAAGCTTAACACTGGACTTTGACACGAGAACTTATGAGTGCCTCTACTTCTCGGAATTCAAAATACCAGGGCTCAAAGAGCTCACCCTCTGCTGCAGATATTGTCACCCAAGCGAATTAGCAGACGTTGTAAAGCGACATAAAGAGACCCTGGACCGTGTGGCTTTCCACGATGTCTACTTGAAAAATCTTCCAGACTGGCTCTTTTTGATGGACGTTTTGTGTAAGATGTCGAACATACATGTACACTTTGAGTGGTTCAAGGGGAAGGAAGGGATATTCTGGGTTGGGCGTACTTCAGGCAGACCAGAGCTCGATGCGTTGTACAGGGAACTGTATAATACCAGTGATTTGAGGAATGACAATGACAAAAGAAAGATGCGAGACTTGCTCCATCAAATTGGCGATCAAGATGTCTGGGCAGCCATTCAGTTGTGAGCCAGATGTGTTCTTTGCAGCTGAGACTTGTGGCTGAGAGCTTAAATCAGCACAGAGAACTTAGAACTTAGGGCAGCCATTCGTCAGAAAAGCATAGTTCTTCTGCTAGTCAATTTGCGCTTAAATATGTCTCAACAGCTCCAAGCTTCTGGCAGCTCGTGATAACTTGATTGGCACGTTTGGTTCTTCGCTGATGAACTGGGCTCATGTCCGCACGAACGGAGTGTGCGTGGTCGACGTCTGTTTCTTTCAATATGCTCCAGGAACCAGAATAAGAAGGTAATATTGACTGGGAACTCAGATTGTACTAGTCCCCAGCATTTTCAGCCAACGGCATATTCCCTCCCCTTGTTCCGTTTCAGCATGTGACAATTCCCGAAGCAGGATTCGCACAGCAGCTACAAACGCACCAAACAACGCCACCATCCTACGAACTATCTTTTACATAATTAAGCAGCATGCTTCACATGTAGAACCGATGAAGAGTATTCAGAGTTGCATTCCTCGGCGAGCGAAATCCGTGTATCGGCCGATCGCCCGCTTTGGGCCTTAATTGCGATCTTTTAAAGATCTACAGAGGTCATAGCGCCCCATGGGGAAAGCTGTGCCGTTCTCGACTGGCCGAGAAACGAGGGGAATCCTGGCATTGAGGTTACAACGGCATGCGAAATCGTGGGGAAGTGCAGTTAATCAGGGATCTCTTGGACAGGGAATAGGGCTCACATGGCTTCTGATTCATTGAAGGAAATTGAGAATGCCGAGCTCAGGAGAACATGCGTGATTAAGACAGGAAGTCCATGTTTATATGTGATGTACTATAAGAGAATTCGTCTATAAATACTGAGCCTTTGTCCTCGAAGCAGACAACCAACCATCTCAACACAAACACTCTACAACTCAGTCTTCAGCAATCAATCAGAAACCACTCTTCAACATGCAGTTCTCTACCTCTTTCCTCGTCGCTGCTCTCTTCGGTACTGCCTTTGCCATGCCTCAGGCCAACCCTACTGATTGTCCCGAGACCTCTGCTATCCCTACCTGCGGTGTAAGTCATTCCTCAAAAGCCGCGGTTTTTCAAGTGCTAACGGTGTTTTGAAAGGCTCCTTGCATCACCTCCGCCGCCTCCGCCGTTGGCTGCAGCAACATTGCTTGCCAGTGTGCCAGCTCCAGCGCCATTCAGGCTTCGGCCATCAACTGTGTCCTTGACAACTGCGGTTTCCTCGAGGCTCTGCAGGTTCAGGCTTCTGCCGCTGCTGTCTGCACTGCTTGTGCTTAGATATAGTCGTGAGGATGGTCTATCCCAAGTTGCCTTGCCAACTCGTTGCGGAACTAGTCTCCTTCCAAGTATATAGTTTCCGATGAGTTAGAAATAACAAAGAAGAAAATCCATTTATACGTGCCCTGATTGATGATAGATATGACAAGGTTATGCCCTCAGCTTACCAAACATGGATGTAACCCTCCAAAGCGGAACCAGTGACAAGTCTCAGTAACCTTACTACCAAGTGGCTGTTGCCATGAAGGGGACGGCTTAGATCGGTGGCTACTGGTTTCTCATCAGCACAGACGTCGAATTCGCATGCCTTTGATAGAGTATGATGAATGCATCGGGCACATATGAAGACGACTGGTTAAGGTTCATGTTTAACTGTAATCATAGCTAGCTCTCTGTAACAGGTACGAAAAAAGCTTTCGTTAATGTATTGTGATCAAGCCTCCAAAGTAGGATCCATCTCTTGCTATGATATTAAATCTGTTGTGGTTAATACGACGCAATTAGGTCTAGAATGAGGAGCCAGAGAAAGGTTGGGTTTGTCGAGTAAATACAAAGAAGTTATAAATTTGAATATGATGGGAGCCAATGACACTAGACTTGGCTTTCCCGTGGTCCTGGTAGATCAAATTAAGTAAATCGCTCTCGTGTAGATGCTTTTAAGTAAAATATCAATCAATACAATTAAGAAAAACTGCAACAGCGTGGATTGCAGTAATCTGACATGCAGGCAAAGGACGTCGGCCAGCACGTGGATGGCTTGACAGGACCGACGGATCCGAATATGGAGAGAGGCATGTAACAGCGAAGGTGGATGTCCTAAAGTAATGAATTTTAAGGAGCCCAACATAGACTATCAAGGCCAAATATACGAGCTCGCCATGTCAAGCCACTACATTCTAGTCAGATCATTTATAGTTGGCTCCAGATACACCAAGATGACGGCACAGCGAAGCTGAAAGGAGCTAATGATGGCGACTACCTGATTCCGCAGTAACCGAATGGGTTGGCCATGAGATACATCATACTCGGTAGGACGTAAAAGAGACCAACTGATTAATTTGATTTGCCAAGTATGTCATAGCGCATAACTTCTACAAACGTATAATAGACTGAAAAACAACGATTACAATATTCTGCCAAAATCAAGCTTCGCTATAAATACTTTGCTGTCGAAAGCTTGAGTAAGCACAAGAGTATTGAAGAACTTTGAGCCCAAGATTCTTTGATCCAACAGATCCGGGCAAATATACGGCATAATATAGCGGGATATGCGTTCCACCGACTTGTTGGTCGAGTAGGAGTTCAGCCAACGTAAGTTTCCGATCAGAAAGGCAAGATTCTTTATGGCAGTTCATATCATTGCTGCATGTTTTCAAGAGGCAATGATTGACGCGGATGCTCGGCAATACACTTCAAATGTCCAACACTGTGCTTGGTCCCCAGATGAGTAGAACAAGTATAAATATGGTGGTATATTCTGTATCCAAGCATCACGTCTTCACAGATCTTCCAACATGTCTCGACACCGGTCTATCTTCTTCGGCTGCAACTACATTCTTGAGCGCATGTGCCTTTCCGGTCGTGGCCTTGAACATAGTGAAGCTATGCCTGATCGAGATACAAAGTTGACTAACATCAAGTGTACCTCTTTACACAAGCCTGACGTTATCGGAGCTCACGGGTACGAGCTCTTTGTACACGGCACTGATTTGGCGAAGAAGTATGGGAAGGTTGCCTTGAATGATGAGGAAAGCAAAGAAATCTTGGCACTTATTAATGGTTCCTCTGTATCCTCGCTGGAGGCTCTGTTGGCAAAGTTTGGGCACAGTGATGTGAAGGAGGGGGAGATTCAAGATGAGTAGGAGGACTGATTCAGCGGGAATGGAAGTGTCTACCCGTGATGACATTGTACTGAGCTTTATACAAGTTTGGGTACTAGGATCAGCTTGCTAGGTGTATCAAAATCGGTGATTCTTCAGCCGTAACTGCATGATATTTGAGCGCGAGATGAAGATACGTGGGCAGTGACTCAAGACAAGATATTAGTATATAACCCGGAATACGCCCAACAAAATTGAGACATTGAAACAACTATATCCCGGAGAACCAGAAATAATCAGGAAGCCTCAAGAAGCTCACTATTCACGCCAAAATGTGCAATGACATCAGATACATGTACCATTGTCGGAGGTGCAAACATTTTCTTTCTGCGGCGACAGTTCCTGAGCCTTGTAGCAAGGGAGAGAAAGATGGAAACTGTATACCTACAAGCGAGAGAGCCAATGCGGACATTGCTTGGTGGCATTGCAACTTCTGCTTAGACAAGGAAACGAAGTGAGAGGGCCTAAGGAGGAACATTTAATCTCCGGTCCAAAAGATGAGTGAAGAGGGCACTCGGGTGGCAATGTGATTCACGAATCATAGATATAAACATCTATAAAGCTGCGATTTCATCCCATATTTCTTTGCCTGCTCCAAACCTCTAAATTCCGATAAGATCCAAAAGGCCATGCTAAAAAGGACTATACTCGAATACTTGTTAGAGAAATGTGCTTCACAAAATATACCGACTTCCGGTGCGCGAAATGCAATCATCTTGTCAGCTGGAAAACAGACCATGAATGTTACGAGCATCCAGGAGATCCGAGAAAAGGCTGCACGATAATCATCCAGAGGACAGACATGCCTCGGTCGAATACGACCTGTCGAAAGTGCAAAGAGAAGAAAAAGAAGAAACAGGCAGAAAAAGAATGCGTTACAAAGACATGAAGAGGCGGTGGATTGGATATGTACTGAAAGTCTGTGATTCAGAGCCAAATTTGAGTACATGGTCGACTCCTACGCGATTCCCCTATTACTCGAACATTTATTGAAATTAACTTATCCCTTGGTATAGTCCACTTCCCGCTGGTCTGAATTTGCTATGCCAACTTTGACAGCGACATACTTCGATGTGATTTCGTCGCGGACAAGCCAGATGGTTGAGAAGCCGCCGTATCCGAGCTTATGTATAACGCGATATCGGTCAGTGAGATGGTCTCCAATACAAATTGGATGATAGCCACCTGGGCTTTCAACGTCCTCTATTGGAAGGTACAAAACTGGAGAGGATGACGTTGCTGTTGTTCTAGCGCAGCGTAGACTTGTGCGTGAAGGAAAGGTCAAATGATGTCACAAGGACAAAGAAGAAAAGGGAAATTGGGTTTTCAAGTGCCGAAGTGCTACGCTGCGCATTTTGACAACGCTGATGATGATAAGATGAGGGACTTGCGATACCCAGAGGCTCTGCTTTACGCATTTGTTTTCATGAGAATGCCTGGGCGGGCAGAAGTGGATCCCACAGTCGTTTTCTGCTCCTGGTCACTGGCGTACCAGCTGTACGATTGATGCCTACAGATGACCCTGGGATCTGGTTCAGAAGGCCAACTGTGAATCACAGCGCCAAATGTCACCCATGGTGCACAAATACCTACTATATTGGCTTGCTTTGAGATATCATAGACACCCTCAAGTAAATTGGGTTTTCTGCCATTCCAAAAGAGAATGCTTCAGGTGACCGTATCACCCCGGAAGGGTGGCTATTTTATAGCGCATTGCCAACGGATGGCCCGCTGGAGAAACTTGACATGGCCAACATCATTGGCAGCGCCGCGAGACGAAGGGCCGGAAATAAGCTTTAGCAAACTCAACTGTGAATCATTCCCATTCACCTCCTTCATCAATTATCGCGATGCGACAGTCTCTACGGCGAAAGTCTTGCAGTGCTTGTGTACGCTCCAAGCGTCGCTGCAGCCTCAGTGCTCCCAGCTGCAGTCGCTGCACAGCGAAAGGCATGGAATGCTCGTATCCCACCTTCACAGCTGTGCCGCCTCCGCTCCCAAGTGCCTCTGGCAGCCCTCTCCTCAGTGATTCAATTGACGATGCTTTGCTTTCTCTTCAGATACCCTCATTCATCTCCACGACTGAAGCATATGGCATGCAGCTCGACTCTGCGGAATATCCTCCCCGTACAGCAAACGATTTTACAGCGCGCGCAGAATTCTTGGCTCATTTGATGTCACTGCAGTCCACGGCACTGGCTGAGAAGGGGTTCAATGTGTTCATTCATCCGTAGCAGACTCTTGCTTCAGATGCGTTACGCGACGCGTTAGCTGGCAGTGCTCTACACACCGTGCGAAATCCTTCCAACGCCCGCTTCGTCGATTCTGAGATTACAAGGCGCGCCTCGCACATTGTCGCGGTCTTATATGCGGCGTCAATAAGCGATGATACTGTCGACTTGCGAATGCTTCCTTCGGTCCAAGCACTTCTTGTCTATCAATGCATGCGACTGTTCTCGCCAGGCAGCATCAGTCAGCAGGCGCAGGCGGAACGCGATAACATTGTTCTTCAGATTTGGGCATCGCGTTTACAATTATTGTTGGCTTGTGAAGACGAGCTCACGGAAGCGAGCTGGGAGTTTTGGGTTGAGAAAGAAGCCATCCGTCGCACATTAATATGCATAGAGCTTGCGCAAGGCACCTACACGTATCTTCGTGGAAACTGGCCCATCGGTGTTCGATGTCATCACGACCTAAGGTTTAATGCACAGAAGGCCCTTTGGGAAGCCAAGTCAGCTGCAGAATGGCATCTTGTGTCTGAGGATTCCGCGCATCCCTCGCTGCCATGCAATATGCTTCGCTTACATAAAGACATTCGCGACGCAATGCCTGGTGACTTGGATGATATAGGGGTTCTATTGCGCGCTGCGGGTGAAGGGCTTGCGAACATGAATACCTGGCTTCGTCACGATAAAGAAGCCTTGCAGCGATGGGGCCAGGTTGGTGTATGACTCGTCTTCAGCATAACAGCAGTACATACAAGTTCTCGCTCTTGGGTGATCTGCCACTACAAACCATGTACACCAATGCGAAGGAACTGGCCGTCCTTGTCAAGCCTATCCCTAATCGGTCCACTCTTCAACTCATCGACATCCCAAGCTGACCACACAAATCGACCATGCAAAAAAGCTGCTTCCCCCGACGCGCACCATACAGCAAACGCGCCTGGAAGACTCACTACCAACCGTTAGGCATGGGTATATTTCAAAGACGCCCCACAAAGCTTACCATCGTCCCAATTCATCGTCGTTTCTGTCATCCCTTTCTCTCGAGCTTGGTCTGTCAGGATGGCACCTGGATGGAAGCTTACGATCTGAATTTGAGATGCATCCTTCTCGTCTGCAAGTTTCTGGAGGAGAAGAGTCCCAGATGCCTTGGTCAATGAATACGATGAGAGATTCTTTGGGCTACCGAAGTCATGGATGGCACCCGTTGAGACATTGACTATATGGTACTACCAAATGGACTGTTAGCAGCGTCTTCGAAGAGAAGGTTAGGTATATACTTTTCTTATTCTTTGTACATCTTGACGGTGCAATCGATCACAAAGCTGGTGTAGCGCCCGAGTGTTGACCACGAACTGCTCCCACGTCTTCTCCCAACCTTGACCTGACAACGTCCCTTCAACATTGAGAGCAGCATTGAGGACCAAGACATCCACATGAACACCATTTGCACCCAAATTGTCAAACATCTGATCAATGCTTCTAGAGTCAGACATCTGACAGACTACCGCCTCAAATTTGGTGTCGCAATCGCTATGATCATGAGTGAGTCTTGCCATCGCCTCGTCAAGCTTTTGGCGCGTTCTTCCAGTGATGATGATCTTGTCTGCACCAGCCAAAGCAAAGTTGTTGGCGATGGAGTATCCGATACCAGCAGATCCGCCAGTGATGAAAACAGTCTTCCCGGCTTGGGAAACTGAAGGCTGTGAAGGATCTATAGCACCATACACCGATGTATGTAGTTTCTTTGTTAGCGGTACGGGTTTGTACATAAAAGCGGAAGATTCGGCGTTGTTTGGCATGATTGGGAAAGTCTTTGAAGATGAATGCAGAAGGTGAGGAGGCATGCCAGACAACAGATTTAAGACCAAGCGACGTCCATTTTATAATGGTTCTCTAACTGTTCATTTGGAGTATTGTATTAGGCGGGCATCTTCCATGTCATTTGCGGACTATTCTGGATCATGATTGCGGAAATCCGTTATAGAGAGCGGCCTGTTGTGGATCTGACGATGGAGAGCCACATTTGACCGCAGTCATAAGGATAAAAGGCGCGTTGTCGAGAAACGCCTCCTTTTGGTTTCTGGCATAATCTGAATAGGAAAGCGTCCTCTGAAAGGGTCAAGCTCACAATGGGTGGGTACCAGTAGGTATCCTACATGGACTGGTAAGGGTAGATGGGTTTATTACGAGCTAGCCAGGATGCCGAGCGCACTGCGCATGCAAGGGTCTGCGAATGCTCCGAGCCCTTAAATCAACTCTTGACTCGAGATGTGAGATTGTGATTTTGTGACAGGCTTTCGGTGGGAGTCTATTAAGCGCGATGCCCTTCTTTTTGTCCTGTTGAGATTGGTTGGCCGTATGGACGATGAACCTTGTTTGTCACTCAATTATAAGCATTCTTCATGTGTCAAGTTCACGGGGGTTTTGTTTCAGAACCTCACATGTCAAGGGCCGACTTATCCAGAAGACTATGCGGCTATGATCCTACCAAACAACTCATGATAACCCCTCATTGAATCTCCTTCCTGGCTGGAATACACTCCAGGAACCTAACCTTGTCCCTTCGCAACGCGTCTTCAAGTGAAGTAAAAGGAATACCAAACTTGTCCTGAACCTCTTTGGCTCTTTCTTCAATAAAGCCAAAAGGCTTCATGTTGGCAAAATGCTGAAACATATGGCCATGAACACCGATACCCAACTTCTCCACCTCCTCAGGAGTGCGCTTCACGACCCCGACTTCCCTACCGCTGACCTTGGCCAGTATATCCCTGACCTCCTCAAAGTCAAGCAGTTCATTTCCAAGATCAATTTCCTGGCCTCGGAATCTGGTAGGGTCCTGCAGGGCCGCAGCGACGTACTTCCCCACGTCATGAGCATCAGTGTAAGGAAACTTGGCACCACCAGTGAGAAGACCATCTATTTCTCCGTCTGTTGGGAGACGAGGAAAGTTATTGTAGACGCCTGGGATAAGAAAGTCATAGTGGATAAGTGCGGGTCGAAGAATTGTGTATGATTCGAATTTCCCTGCGCGAACAGTATTCTCGACTTCATATTTGGAAGTATAGTATCCGTGGAGATGAGGAATAGCTTTGACATCGTCGTTATCCCAGATATCCTTCCTGTCCGCACAAATGACGGTAGTGGCAACGAGATTTTCAACGGCAGCCTTCTCGCAAGCTTCAACAATTGTCTTGGCCTGGAGGAGTTCCAGACCAGGGAAGGAAACGGTGTTGAGAAAAGCGGCTTGACATCCCTGTGCAGCTTCGAAGATATCGTCGAGATTCTTGCTCTCTCCCTGGAAGAGAGTGATTTTCGGGTCAGTTAGCAGGGCTGGGATCTTTTCGATGTTGCGGACGACAGCGTGGATCTTGTGGCCGGCTTTAAGGAGGTGCTCGATGACCCATTGGCTCTGTTGACCAGTGGCCTGTGTGACGAGATAGGTCGGCATTGCGAAACTGATTATAACGTGACTGTGGTAGTGACAGAGTGACACGGTTGAGATAACGACGGATGAGTCCGAATTATTGAGTCGATGCTTTTGAGTGAGTCTTCAGCGGTATATTTATAGTCTGTTTTTTTTCTCTACGGATTCCGGCCATATCCCGGCAATTATTTCAATGTCTTATGATTTCTAATATGTCCTGAGCTGACGAATATCCATGATCCGGTACTTCTTTGGAGTCGGAGCCTTCGCAGGCATCTTAAAAGTCCGGTCGTCTTTGAGGCTTAGCGTAGAGAAGAACCCGATCTTACCTTCGATAAAAGTTGCTTCCAGTGGGGGACACATGATGACAGGGGAATGTCACCTCAATCGATCATTGGTGCTTCTAAACTTAGTGCTGATGACAAATTCCTTGTCTGCTTATCACCTGCGAGACCCTATCACCAGCAGTTTTGACCGAGAGATTGAGATCCTACTGCTTTCATCTACCGTACGATATTTACTGCTCGAATCGAATCGAGCGGCGTTTCGGACCGACTTTTTGAGATGAAACCCCGAAAAGGCTGTTGGACTTGCGCAGGTTAGTGGCGGCAAAACGGCTTGCGAACTGGCCATCACTAAGCATCAGCATCAGCTCGCAAGATTCAATGCGACGGAGTCCGACCGAATTGCAACAAATGCAACCGTTCTCAATTGACCTGCCAAGGCTATGAAGCTCGATTATCATGGCCCCGAAAAAATGACAGGAAGCGAGCGATGGTATGCACTACGGCAAAGCAAGCGCCTGTATCCTTCCAAGAGACGAGCGAGATACCTCGTCGCCTTTTCTTGATCAATACATCATTTCGCGATGTCGAGCTACACAACTACTTACCGTCACAGTATCACCAGGCTCAAGTTTCCAAATCGCCTTCAAAACCACTCAAGCAGCCCGCGATACATACCAATCAGAATGAGCTGTTACAGTACTGTGAGAGCTATAGCACATCCACAATGTCCACGTCTTCTGACTCGCATATTAGTTCATCACTTAGCGCATCTGTCTTTGGTCACATTCAGCACGACAACGGCTGGAATCCGCGATACGCTCATGAGAATGGCTATGATCAACAACAGTGCTTCAGCCTCGGCTCTTCTACATGCTATGCTAGCCTATTCATCCCTTCACCATCATGGCCTAAGCGAAACATCTCTCAAATTCAAAGTACAGGCACTTCATCTGCTATCTACCTCCGCCGAAGATGGTGAATTGTCCTTAGTAAACGCCTCTCAGCACGTGGCTGCGTCCATGCTGCTTGGATCATTTGAGGTATGTGGCCCCGGAGACCAATGAGGTCCTGCTGACATTTTAGACTTTACGTCCTTCTGAGAGCTCAGGTGAATGGTTGTGGCATATCTGGGGAGCTGTGGATGTCATTCAAGCCACTCAACTCAGCGATCATTCTTCTGAGAATGAAACATACGTTCTCATTGACTGGGTCAACTATCATCATACGCTCTCACGTTTCAGCACGCAGCATTGGCAACATAAATCACTGGCTTCAAAGGCGTCCAAGAAACCGATGCAACTCTTTCGTCGCAGAACGACCCCGCCACTGTCAATATACAGACCCGTATGCTTTCTACAAGAACAGACTTGGAGCTTAGTGGCTAACCAAAGTTTCAGAATCATCCCTCTATAGATCCGACGTCTTCTATAATGAGCCTCCTTTTTGAAGCATGTAATATTTATATGGATCCACAAGATCCCCAAAGTCAGAGTCCGGAATACCGCAACTCGCTCCGACGGCTCGAAGCGCAGGTCGACGATCTGATTGCTTCCCCAGTCCCGAACGATCTAAATCCTGAAAGCGCATTTGCGTTGGAGTTATACCGTGTAGCAACACGCATATACATAGCGCGTGCCTCCCAAAGTCCATGGGAAGCACCAGCAGTGTTGGACTCGCTGGTAGATGCACTGTTCAACGGCCCAGTGGCGTCGTGCACCTGCATTCATTTCTTTCCGCTATTGATTCTCGCATGCGAATCACGAAGGGATGATCAACGGGTGGCAATACTTAATCTGATTGACAGAACTCAACGCGATGCACGAATCAGGAGTATGAAGGCTGTGACGAATGCTATTCAGGCTGTTTGGGTGCAGCAGGATCTTCATGCCGATAGTGAGGTGTTGGTGAATTATATGGATCTCCTCAGTATTGGAATTAGCTCAAGTAGCAGTATTCCGTCCTTTGCATAATGTTAGGCTGGAGTCAGTAACCAAGTTCTCTGTGCTCATATAAGCTCTCAGCCACGAGGCTCAACTGCAAATAACACATCTGGCTCACAACTTAGACATTATACCACAATGCCTGGCCAATTGCTACAGCATAAAGCTACTATCATGAAAACCTAAAAGATGGCTCATTTGACCGCCATCACGGGTATAAGAACTATGATGCGTCCCCCAAGACGATCCAACTCAGCACCAGGAAATTCAAGGACGGATGAGAAAGGGTTGACCTGAGGAAAGTTTCGAGATGGCACGTATGTCGGTGGTGTCATGGGGGAAGAAGGTTGGACTGGAAGAAGGTTTGGAGCAATCAGAAGGCCGTGGCGGTATTTAGTTTATGGGTCAGTCTAAGGTCAGCAAATACGCTTCTGATTTAACACAATGGCTGGAGTCAGTAACACCGAGGTAGGCAGGATACTGGATGAGATTGGAGAACCTGGGTTCTGAAATTCGACCAAAAGCAAGGAATCAAGAGTCTTATCTTCTTTTGCGAAACGAATGACCATCTCTCCTCGTGGCCCGGATTTCCTATCAACATCGAGTAATGGCCTGGCCCGAATCCTTTGCTGACTGGCGATCGTTGCAACATGATTTGCTGGTGGTGATATCCTTTATCAGTTAGACCCGAGTCGGCAGTGAGACATGCGCCACATGCTCAAATGTCTTGTGTGAATGTCAATGTCCCATTGGTTAGCCACCTTCCTAATGCAGGCGCCACGGTAACTTGAGATCAGACATTGATGTAGTATTGGGATTTTCGGAGTGATGAAGTGATCACAGGAGCAACTTTAGGCGCTTGGAAATCTCCGAGAGGAATTACCAAGATGATGGCTTCTCGCAAATGCCGGAGGTGATGCATGTCGCTTGGCATTTGAATGCCTCCAACACACTACGTTACATCTATAAAATGATATTCTATCCGTTGCGCACCTTGCTTGGGAGTATAAAACCCAAAGCAGATTTTCTCTCCAAAGGCTATCGCTTGCTTCAACAGGATGTCACTGGTCGTGCCAGCCCACTAGCCCGGTGCCCTCATCACGCTCTTGCGAATACTACCTTAGTTTGCAACTACGATAAAAGACAGCTGGAAGAGAATTCTCCGTTTTGGGTTACATCGTCAGTATCAGGCATAAATCAAGTGACGTGCGACCACGTACCTTATCTCGATGTTTCTTCTGCTGTCGCCAACCTTATCGGAGAAAGCCTGTTTATCAACCCTGCTGTCAAATCGTTGCGACAGTAAATCGCAAGCGACAATATCACCCGACTTTAACTCATGAGTAGTTCAAAACCCAATATTCGGGTTCATTATTTCCGGGAACTGCTCTCGCCTGTGTTTATGAGAGTGTTATTTTGAGTTGATAGACCTGACAGCTGATGCTTACATCGCGCGCCTTACTTGTGAACTGCTCTCGCCATGTGTTCTTGACAGTTGCTATGATCGTCGTTGCTGAAACAGATCTGCAACGTTGCAATCGGCCATGTATGACCGCAGTCTCTCCATTAACCACGGCTATGATCGCCTTTCCGCAATGTAATTCAAGTCATTGCAGCCTTGAAAAAAGTCATTTGAGTATTCTGCACATGTTCTTTCTTCCATCGCTGCAACTCAACATGTCTTTCAAAACCCTGCTGAGACGAGTCGATGACTTTGGAAAATGACGGGTTTCCTCTTATCTGCAGATTATGTATTTGACAAAATGTTTTAAGAATGATTTCGGACGTATATAATACTCCTGAAGACCGATATTCGGCCAAAGGATCAATAACAATCACAACATCGAATCACAATCGCACCACATAAACATTTCCCCTTACGCAACGCAACATTCACAATGGTCGCACTCGACGATATGACTTCTGGCATTCCCGCCCTTGTCGTTCCAGCCAACAATGATGACATCTCTGAGGAGGCGACGGGTAGCGTCAACGCCGTTTACTTTGTCAACTGGTTCGTCTTCCTTCTCACGTGCTCTTGGTTCATTCACTCATCACATGCAGGGGTATCTATGGGCGTAACTATCAACCCCAGAACCTTCCCGCATCGCAACTGACTCATGTGCTTTATGCTTTCATGAATGTGAGAGCTGATGGGACTGTGTAAGTATTCCTACTGAGGAGACGCCTTGACTCAATGCTCACGACATATAGCTACACTGGAGATTCCTATGCCGATCTTGAGAAGCACTACACTGGTGACTGTAAGGTTATTTGCTTCCTAATACTCAGAAAGTATGCTGACTCCACTAGCCTGGGAAGAGCCCGGTAACAACGCATACGGATGCGTCAAGCAGCTCTTCCTCCTCAAGAAGGCCAACCGAAAGCTCAAAGTCATGCTATCCATCGGCGGCTGGACCTGGTCAACCAACTTCCCAGCTGCCTCTGCCTCAGCTGCTACCCGATCCACCTTCGCCAAGAGCTCCGTTACTCTCATGAAGGACTGGGGCTTCGACGGTATCGACATCGATTGGGAATATCCTGCCAACGCTACCGATGCCAGTAACATGATCCTTCTACTCCAGGCCGTGCGCAGCGAGCTCGACTCTTATTCCAAGCAATATGCCAATGGATATCACTTCCAGCTTTCCATTGCTGCCCCTGCTGGTCCTGATAACTACAATAAGCTCAAGATGAAGGACCTCGGATCGGTTCTCGACCATGTCAATTTGATGGCTTATGACTACGCCGGGTCTTGGAGCGCCTTCTCGGGGCATCAAGCTAACAAATACGCCAACACCAAGATCCCCAACGCGACGCCGTTCAACACTGACCAGGCCGTCAAGGCTTACGTCAACGGTGGCGTTCCGTCCGCCAAGATGGTTCTCGGTATGCCCATCTACGGCCGCGCATTTCAGAACACTGCCGGTCTCGGGCAGCCATACTCTGGTGTCGGATCTGGAAGCTGGGAGAACGGTATCTGGGACTACAAGGCCTTGCCCAAGGCTGGAGCTAGTCTTGTCTATGACCGCGATGCTCAGGCCTCTTACAGCTATGACTCCAACACTAAGGAGCTTATCTCCTTCGATACCCCTGGTATGGTCGCGAACAAGGTCCTTTACATCAAGAACCGTAAGCTTGGTGGCAGCATGTTCTGGGAGGCGTCTGCTGACAAGACTGGTGCTAACTCGTTGATCGGCACCAGCTCCAAGAAGCTTGGAACTCTTGATAGCACTAACAATTGCTTGACCTACCCTAACTCTCAGTATGCCAACATTGCCAAGGGGCTTTCTTGAAGAGACAGTGGCAACACAGTTGTGTTCGTGAGAACAAGGAAGGGTACAGCTTAGCTTTTGGGGATGCGCACTCGTGGCATAGACTCAAATTATTATACCTTCGCTTTAGATATTAATAGACATTCGTTTAGCATTACTTCTGGACGATATGTAGCGGCATAGTGCCGCAACTTTACTGTGTGCCTTCGAACGAATTAGATCACAGCTACGTATATGTTTACACCAACATTACCTATGCTGAACTTCTCTGGGGACTTGTGTCGTTGCGTATCGAGCGCTTGCGGCAGTGCGCTATCCATCAATGATATTGGAGAGGCTCGCGGCCCGCGCATCGGGTAACGCACTTCATAAGCGGGTATCCTATCCCTTTTTGAAGAGCGGGTAGTGTCACAAATACAAGCATCATATAAATACCGAATCCCTTATCTTACGCTACTTCATATTGGGACGCCACTTCAAGAATGTTTGTTCTATTCACAACTAGGCTAGGTCTCCCCTCCCTTTCCCTCCCGAATCGGCCGCTATGGGTCGACCTACGAAACGCTATTCTACAGCTCAAGAGATGGTTCCAGAGTTATCAGCACAATTGAACACCTTTGCAATCAGACCGGATCGGTAGGCATCCTGGATGGATACAGCCACACTGTAACTTCAAGGGGGTTAGCTATCGCACATATCACAGGGGCGGTCATTTATTGACTTACGTTCCGGCAATGACCATGAAGGATCCAACGAGTACGATGAGGGCGTGTGACCAATACTTCGCCTTGTTAGATGAATTGCCCCTTCTATAATGCTTAAAATCCTGCATCCAAAGGAGGGCTGGGAAGATCAAGCTGAAGGGAGCGAAACAGACGGCTCCGGCAAGACCCAGGAGGTAGTTGAGAATAGGGACAGCCTCGGCAACGATAAAAGCAAGGATTCCGAGAGTAAGATTGCTACCAATCCAGGTAGTCCAATGAACCATCGTGTTCTCCTGAAGATGGTGCGAGTCGCGGAGGATTCGGACGAAAATGTACTTCGCGGCCACGTGCTGGTAAATACCGACACCGATAATAAGACCTGGAAGCGCAATTCCATACGAGATCTTCTTGAACAGAGGGCCTGCACTTCCGAAAGCAGGGGTCGCCAGCCATACGCCGCACCATCTATAGATGACGAGGGAGAAGGACAGGTACATAGCAAGCACGAGGACACCAGTAACTAGCACGGCCTTTCTGAAGTGCTCGGGGCGCTTCATTTCTGACAGCACAGGCAGATACATAGATGAACCACTGTTGCTGATAAAGATGTTGGCAGAGGCAGTGATGCCCGCTACAAACGTAGGGTGAGCGATGGCAGTCCAACCCAGTTCGTAGTCACCAGTCTGAGGAGCCATTGCAGGCCGGTCTTGCTGGGTTACAGCAACAACGAAGATGAAGACAGCCACGAAGAACGTGAAGAATCCGATCCATGTAAGCCAGCCGAGGCGGCTGAAGGTTCGTACCGAGGAAAACAATGTGATTGAGATCGCACCGATAAGGGTGAAGATAACGGTGCATGCGCCGTGGTTGGAGATGGCGTTGAAAGCTGTCGAGATGGAAACGATGCCGGCGGCGGAGATGAGAACCTGGGCGACCAGAATTTGAAGGCCAACAAGTTCTTTGCCAACACGTCCCCAGAGGCGACCGCACATATCAGCGAGTGCTATTCACTCTGTTAGAGCTAACGATGTAAGCTTAAAGATCGAGGTTGAAAACGTACTGTGGCACTCAGGATGACGGTTTCGGAATTCGCCCAGAATAACTGCCGTGTCTGCATAACAGTTGTTAGTCAATCTAACCCTCTTTATCTTACCAATTGAACACTTGACTTACAGGTATTCAGAGTATGCCAGCCAACGAGCGATAGACCGCCTCCAACAGCCCCAAGCGTCGCAAACGCACCAGGCACGCTCAGAATGCTCATGGCAAACTGGATCTTGAGAAAGATGATGGTGGCTCGCTGCCAGCTGACAGTTCTGAACTGCACGCCATCATCTATCTGCTGGAAGACTTCATGAGACTCAAGCGTCTCGCCTTTGATGGAGACAACCTCCTCATCGGCCGGTCTGTATGGTGTGACTTTGTCATCAACCACTTGCTGCACTTCTTGGGCAGCCATGCTTGCCTCTGAGTTCTGTTTCTGTGGAGATACGCGTGAAAAGGAAGTCAATGAAGATGAAGGTGAAAGAGGAAGTGACTCAGTCTGTCATCACAATCTCAATGGGCGATCTTGTCCTTATTTCTACTGGATCCGAAATCGGTTGCTACCCCAGGTTATCTACCCCGACTTTATCTTTACGGTCTAGACTGAGCCTGCATATCGTGAGCTAGACGGTATCAGATTTGGTCTCGTGGGGTCTTTTATCAAGTGTAAACCTTGTCGACCACTGATATTTGCCCGCTTATCAGAACCAACTTTGGCGATATCTCCGTGTAGAGTTGCCCAATTGCAGTGAATACCTTGTCAGCGACAATCGGCTATGGGGCAACAGAGATTAGTTATAGAGGGTTCCGCACGTGGAAAGGTAAATTCCGCACTCAGATTGGACACGATTTGAGGCGTCGTGATCTAACTAACCTACCAGGACGCATTTTCGCGGAGTGCTATTGGTGTCGCTTCCATTATGGTTGCAGACTCGCATTGGTGTCTTATCACTAGTTATCGGGTATGGAGAGAAAAAACACCAATCGATACAGGAATGTCGGCTACCGGGTGGTACATATTCTTGCTATAGTACCTCTATTGAACTGAGTGATCTAGGGCTCATACAACTGCCGGCTCGTATTATTTTCCAGCCTCTTGGGTTCTGCGTTACAAGTGATGCTTTTCTCCATCTTCCAATGTTCATTCATGAATTCAGTAAATTTTGTATTAGCTTCTAGGCAGTTGTATCATCAAGGACAACTGAAAAAACAAGAAGCAAAGGCCTGTCATTCTGTTATGACTCGGTTGCAAGTCCCATGATGCCAAAGCCACCAAGTAAGGTGTGCCTTCTTCCAGCTAGACGGGTTCACCACTTATCATCAGCCTCACAGACCTGTTTCAACTACCGTTTTTCTTAAAGCCAATCAATGCATGGCGTCTCGGACACCGGCATTTATACATGTGCGGTATGTGGCGACTAGTAATTATAGACGTTTCCAAGACTTGGTCGCGGGCCGCTGAACGGAAAACGCACGCTCCAGATGCCCCATACCCGCTATCATTCAGTGGGCACAGCCGCTGGCAGAACCAAAATCTGAGGGAGATATCCGCTGTCATTTAGCTCTATCTCGCCAACTCCACCCTCGTATCTGACTCAATTGATTGTAATCGTTACTAATGACCTCGTGTCTATGACGGGTATAGTTGAATAAAGATGTGGACATTGACTCAAATGGCTTGTGTCATGAGATCAGACGATATCCTCTTCATGATATCTCGGCAATCCGGATATAGACAACTGAATCAGGATGTCTCTCGATGCCGCAGTTCGTTGCTTAAGAAGAAGACGATGATAGCTTCAGTCGAATCCATGACCATAGCAGCAATTCCATCAACACTACATTCCAGCATATATCTGCCTTGAATCTTATTACATTATATAGTGTCCCATTACACTTCATTAGCCATGTACGCAGACATCAGCAAGCCACCAGCCCCTCTCCCATCTATCAATCTCAAGGTCCTGAGGCCTGGTCTATCTTTGCTGTACCCACTCTCCAGACGAGGCCACGGCCCCGGTCTCATCATTCTCTCCGCCACTACCGAGGACCCCGTGGCTTTCTACGAGGGTGTCCCTTCCTCATTGGTGAAGTGGACTGAAGAAGGTTATGCCGTTGTTCAGATTGAAGCCGCTGCATTTGAAGGAAATGACAGCGGAGTTGTTCTCAAGGAAGCCATCGATGCTTTGAAGCAATGTGAGAAGTGTGACCTGAACGATAAAGTTGGCCTGGTTTGTAAGTTGTCATTGATGCGTGTCCCTCTACTTATCCATGCATTCTGACATGTTTCCAGCGTATGAGCCAAATTTATGGAACATCGCTGCTCCTGGAATAGACCAAACCCCAGAGATTGTTGCCAGTGTTCTTTACGCCGATGAAGAGTCTGCAAAGACTCTGACCTCAAGCGAAAAGCCTGTGTTAAAACATATTGCTGGTAAAGATTTCAAGCCCTCGAGTCAATCACACTACCCCTACAAGGAGTCTTCAAGCTATGCTTTCGCGACTCCAGGGCACCCTCACTTTCACTATACAACTGAGTCGGTATCTCACACCCGTAATCTCCAGTTCCTGAAGCCCAAACTTAATGGACCCTTCTTTGACCTCGAGGCTATTTGGGATGAACATACCTGGTATGAGTTTAGTGATCGATCGGTGCAGCATACGATGAGCACAATGGTACAGGAACCTTATGTGAATCATGTTCCAACTGTTGGTCTCCTTCTGAACATACAAACGTCCAATTGACTAACGATATCCAGTTGACTGGCGGTATCGGCCGAAGTAGTCTCACAAAGTTCTACCGAGATAACTTCATCTTCAACAATTCCCTCGATACTACGCTTGATCTTATTAGTCGCACGATAGGCATTGACCGTGTGATTGACGAGTTCATCTACAAATTCACCCACGATCGTGAGATTGACTGGCTGTAAGATCCTGTATCCTTAGAACTTATCATGGCTTCTCATGCTAACTACCGTCCCCATAGCTTACCTGGTATTCCACCTACTTTCCAAAGAGCAGAGATTCCATTCACAGCCGTTGTCAACATCCGGGGCGATCGCCTGTATCATGAACACATCTCTTGGGATCAAGGCACTGCTCTCCGACAGCTTGGACTTATGCCAGAGTATCTGCCATTCCCTTATGCGGTCCCTGGTCAGACAGGAGGTCCTGGTGCAAAATATGAGTACCGAGTTCCTGTGATCGGAATTGAGACTGCGGATAAGATGCGGGATAGGAACTCGGTTCCATCAAATGGCATGTTCAGCTACAAGGTTCGACAGGTTCAAGACGGCCCAGAAAGCTTGAGGAAGGAAGATGATGTCAAGCAGGAGGCAGACATTGTAGGTGTAGCTGCTTGAGCCCTGTTCAAATTGAAAGATAAATCATATATCAAATTGGATATCTTACATACAAATCGTCTTGATTGGAATTCCTGTTATATCGTCTTCTTTGCATCATAGTATTCCGGATACGTCTGCTTGTAGCCTAGCACAAATCTTCCCCAGTAGGCGGCAGTTGTAAGCAAGATCCGACTGACCACCCGGCCCAAGAATTCCCAGGGAATCGGAATTACCAATGGAGTATCGGCGCTATGAAGAAAGACGAGTAGCTGAAAAATACTAGGTGCACTACCCGACGCTTTACAATCATCCAAGTACCCGAAGAAGTTTCTAAAGAACTGCTGTTCGTTCTCATATGATTCTGGAGTCAGATGAATATCCACCACGAGATCTCTGTCTTCGGCTGCATTTTCAAAGCGGTGAAAGTATCCAGCCTTCACTGACGCTGTAACTTGACCATCTGGGTCGTCGGACAGGACGGCAAAAGGCTTTGGGTCAAGGCCGCGGTAGAAGTTCCCTTTGCCGGACTGGACGCGGAAGAATTCATCTTGGTAGATATGATAATGAAATGGCGGGGCGATGATTGAAACACCATTTTCTTTATCTGTTGGTGGGATTCGATGGGTCATGATGTATTTTGAGCCTGGTCCCGAGAAGGTGACGGAAGACTTGCCGCCTTCGTATAGAATTGGGTTGTTCTGGGCATTTTGAGTGCGCGCTGGCCCTGACGATCTCAAGAATGAAAGCATGTTGCTGACTAGTGTAATATTCTGGAGAGATATGCCGAGTCTACTGAATATTTAAAGATGAAGTTAGATTATAATCGCTCTTGGGCACCAAAGAGGAGGGTCAGTCAATGCCGAGTGGGGAAGCCATCGCCAAGACATCCCATAGCCGACCCTAATAACCGCCGTGTAACAGAGCGAATTAGTAGATCATTACCTTAGCATTACAATATCCTAGGCTTGATCTGCGAGTGCCCATACGTCATGGCGGAATTGCGATTTACGCCAGCTGTCGATCCAATCTGCAAGGGAGCTGCGAACCCTTCAACAGCTGAGTTGAATGATCATCGCCGACTCACTCAACATCCACTGACAGCGTCACTAACGGTATCGGAAGCTCACCACGGTGTGCCCCACACTAGACTATGAAGCATACAATTGCTTCTTCTCGAGTAGCGGCATTTCATGCCATTTGACACGCCGTGCCCACTTTATCATCATGCAGCCAATTAGGAATAAGAGGATTATCGAATGTCCTATCTCATCGATACGCTGGGCCATCATGTTGGATAACTTCAGCGTGTTTGAGAAGGCCGACACCGTTTCATGTCATGCATACATGTAAGTTTGTAGTATAGAAGTCTAGTTTTTCACTGCTTTCAAGATTGCCCCGAGGAAGTGTAGTCAAAACTCTTCGCTTCGTCCTGAAATTCCTTCACGAGCCCAAGAAACAAATCGAAAAAAGGCATAAGAAAAGACCAACAACGATGGTTGTACTACAGGAGATATTTTATGGATTTCATGAGTTCTCGAATCGATATTCCATCCAGAGTTCATGAAACTGGCCAGAGAATTCAACATCTGGCCCAGCGTATGACCAACTCATGAACCCTCCTCACACAAGACTGGGTAAATCTCTCTGTACTGTTGTCCCATTTAGAGTCTAGCTAGAATACAAGTAATATTAAAAGTATGTTTATGGATGTACCAAATCTTCACGGGACCCATGTGACTCCCTCGATGTTTCTGGTCTCTCCAAAGATTGCATCTCCAAGTCCACCTTGACATAGATCTTCTGACTGGATGTACCTTCAACATCATCAAGCTGTTCCCAGTTATCTCCAACTTCGCCTCGATGAGTCCGGCGTGCTGCCGGTACGGACTGCGATGTGATGACAGCTCTGCTGGTTCCAGAAAATGGTGTAATGTGAGTTGGAGAGCTGCCCGTCGATGAGTCGAAATGGAAACGAGAGCTGACGAGTTTTCGTAGTGACGGTAAGCATCCAGCGATTATTCCAATTCCTGATTCGAGAGTTGACCAGAGGACGATGTGTGCAACGTGATCTAATTTTATCAGTATGGCTACAGGAACGGTTTTCACGGCGTACTAACATAAATAATCCTCCGGGTGCGAAAACGCCTTCAAGTAGGGCAGGCGAATAATAGTACACAACGAAGCCCTATCGCGAGATGAGACATGTATCTTCAAGTTCAAGATGAAAACTTACAGTATGCCCAGTCCGAGGATAATACTAACAGAGACCTTGGTGGCCTTTCTCATATGGGATTTGTATAGCATGAAAATAGGCAGGATAGCACAAATCCAATCTGAGACAACCGCACTGAGGGACACCATATAGCCTACACTCATTAGGAAAGGCAGCGAGCATTTTGTGCGATCATCCCAATTGGCAGTGATTGGCATGCATGCGAAAAAGGTACCAATGGTGTGGTAGAGCATGGTGACTATGGTAAAGATGAGAGTGGCCCAGACAATGATTCGATGGGTTTTGGTGACGGCGATGCGGAGGAGGGTTACGCAGATGGACGCTTTAATAGGCGTCAATGAGAGGCTATAAAATACTTGGCCAATCCACGTCCACTGTGTGTTGGTTAGTAGGGCTGTTGAGTCGACGCTCGCGATGAATTACCTTTCGACCATCGACTTGTAGGTATGCATTTAGGTATTCATCTTTTGTTCCCAGACCTGCATAAATGGCACGAACACCAACAACGCTGAATATAACGTGTAGTATCTGTCTTGGTCAGTGCTATGTCTTGTCTAACTGTGACACAGACTTACCCATCCGATAAGCATGAGACCATCATCGATACCAAAGAGACGATACTTCAATCGAACAAAACATCGCAGAATAACAACTATGCCGGTAGGGATCAGAAAAAAGATGGAGACAACAAGCAGAACAAGCGCCAGACCCTTAGGGTCCACCGTCCTCACACTCTCATCGAGCATGATGGCGATGAGATGTTGAACCCACTCTCGCAAGCGCAGAAACAAATACGAAAACTGGCAGCGCAGGGCTGGCATTTTGAGCAGCTGGCTCTCCTTTCTAGCACTGGTCCTAATGCGTCGGATATTGCAGAGTTTGTACTATCCCCCGCATTTTGACCTCCCCCCCCCATCTCATATTTTAGTAACATGGTCTAGTGAACCTTATCGAGGCTCACGAACCAAGGATATCTCGCGGATAACGCCTAGCCTGGCCAGGGTACTGACTCATGAGCTCGATCGATGGATCTGCGCCCAGCGCTTCGAGTGACTGCTTTCAGTTGAAGCGTCGACATGGCTTGCTGGGGTCACGCCTGCTAATGTTTTTGCTGAAGGCTTTTTTGCGTGGCATGCACAGCTGAATCAGTGCGCAGCCAGTCTTATCTCTTATCTGAATTTCCGCGTAGATCTAAGAAACCACTAACTTAAGCGAACCTTTTCTTCTTTGCTGACGCTAAGTTGCAGAGTTGGTGGCTTGAAGCCCTGCTGCAGACAATGACTCGACCCAGGATCCTGGACGCAGGTAATCGCATGATTGTAACGCAAAGCCACAAATATACAGGATATTCTGTGGACATTGTCAGAGCGTATAGTCATCCGTTGCTGATCTTGTCCGCCAAGCTCGTTCAAAAGTTCATGATGCTATTTTCCACCATAGATAACGGTTAACGTTAGGTACGCGTACTCCTCCATAATCTTCCAGGGAAAACGGTAACCTGAAGAGTCAGAGCTTGATCACAGATTCAGGGGTAACGACAGGGGTTATATGCACGGCAGATTAGTGCGATTGCAAGAGGTCCTCGCTTCAGAAATCAGGCCCTATAAGCACTATTCCCGAAAGCCCGATAGCTTCATTTGCTGAAGAAGCCTTCATACCTGTTATGGTACTTGTTAGCGGTGGATCATTAACGATGTTGGACGAAAAGCCTCCGAAAACCGATCGAGACTTAGTACGGCCAGGCCAATGGTTTTTAGACCCGGAGTAAGAACTAGGAAGCTATTCCCATGCATCCGGTACGCTACTGATATGACACGAGTTTTGTGGCTCTGTTTGGAAGAGACAAGACTTGGCCGTGCTTGGATCGACTGGGCCCCTGATTTCATCGCTAGGAATGATTTCTGGAGACCCTTTGAACGCTATGACGACGCTATTATGTGACTTTGTCTCTAACCAGCCTGTTGCATCCCTGTAACGGTTCGTGGCCCTCATGCTTATAATCTGGAACGAACTACTTACTCTTCTCAGCCCGACGAACAGCAGCTAGTTTGACATTAATGATGATCTAGAAGATACACAGACACAGACATCTCATCTTTGTCGTGTTTGGACTATTACTCCATAGTACTGAGTAAGTTACAGTAGCATATCCCTCGGCATTGTTGCAACCCGAGCGGGTCATTACTAACACCTTCTTTAATTAGAAAAGAAATCACTTGGCGTTGTTATCGATTTGTGAGACAATGAAATATGCAGCGATCACCAATAATTGCGTGTGGAAGTGCTTCTGTTTCTATGAACAGATCAAAACCCGCGGAGTTAACGCCATGGCTCGGGTAAAATATGAAGTCTTTAAATAGGACCGAGGTGAGTAGAGGGATTTACAGTACCCCTCCACGGAAGCAATTAGAATGCCTGCATATAATGAAGATGAAAGTCTAATAAGCGAAGGCTGAACATGTCAATCGGCCAAAATCGCCGTTACTTTCCTCCGACTGTGATCCTTGGCGTCGGTCCGACATTTGCTCAGAACATGGATACAGCGATTTTGCAGTCGCACGAGATATAAATGGCTATCGTCCATATTATTTGCAGTTTCGATTATAGTGCTCGTGGCCCGTTTCTTTCTCATCCCTGTGAGACGTTGTCAGCTGAATCCAAGATCCGATCAGCGAGCGCCTAGTGAAGATAGAAATGGTCAAATTAACGATTCTTCCTCTATGCTATACGTGATATCCTTCGCGTGACATTATTTTACCGGAGCCAAAATAAGTTTTTTCCATCTGTAAACAAGCATTTATATACCCTTCTCCTTCAGTTCCGATGTTCCGTGCGGGTATGTCCCGTTGGACCCAGCAACCCAGACACGCTACAACGACACCTGCGCTGGCAGCCAATGCACTACAAATCCAAACAAGCTGGAACCAACCTACAAACCTGCCACTCCGAATGTGACGAAGTGTAATAAATTGCCTTGGCCGATTGCCGATTTCTATTTCTTTAATTAAATGCATGCAATACCCCGCAAATTGGAAATTGACATCTCGATCTAAACTCATACAGGGTAAGTGGTAGCTCACAGCAACTTGCACGGATTGACGAATCAAGACGGCTGATGAAAATAATCGGAAAGGGCGCCGAAGATCGAGTGGAAGCATTGCAGTCAACACCACAGCGCACTTTCACGAAAGCTTACGCATAAGATTGCCGATTCGTCCCCCTGTGATGACAGGCGAAGATCTGACAAAAAAAATTGGCATCTGCGTTGGTACGCCTTGCAACCGAAGCCTCTGGTCCTGGATTATGCTTGTCGAACCTGTCGCCGACGGAAAGGTAAAGAAATCGCGGGTTGATCATGTTTCGCTGCTCTACATCACATGCTAGTCATAAAAGACGCCAAGCCCGATCGATCTTGTGTAGCCCTACCAGTGTTACGGAGATACTAAACGGAATCCCGCTTTTGCCCCGGGGAGACGTCTTGACGGTCGATGAGATTTTAGTTCGCTTGCTTGCTGGTGAGACAACAGGAATTCTGACCTAACCTCAACCTGTTGTACCAGAGTCCCCCTTTTCTTCAGCGACAAATGTTATCAGCACAATGGTATCCACGAGGCCTTTTTCTCTAGCTAGAGAATGCAACAGACCTCCCGTGGTTATGGGACCGTTTCTTCGTAGACCCTGAGCTAGTGTCACCGTCCCGTGCCCCCGCTTCACCGATGGACCCGTGAGACGAAGAAGCGATACTCTGTAGATCACCAACTAGCCAAGATGAGTGGGCGTCTATGACGTTGCACTGCCGCTTTGTTCGGAATGAACTAACAATCTCATCGCCCCATGCCGTCATCGACTCCTCCACTTCCTAAACTCAACCTTGAACCATTCTCGACACGTTGGACTTCATCGGCGCATCTATAGATAGAACTACAAAATGACCGAATCACCACAAGAAACCGTTACAAAACACCTTTCGCATCCAAGAAAACCGCTACGACCGATACTTACCTCTCTAAATGGCGATAACAGCTGGTTGATGTCCTTCCCTAGGCCTGAGGCGGATAGGGCCGCTACGGGGAAGGTCTTCTACCATCTTGCTTTTGAACCATGGCTGAATGGAGCTGCGCATGTTGGACATCCATGGATCGTACACCTTGCTCGTGTGGAAAAGGAGGGCATTTCGACCTTTGAAGACCTGGAGAATCTGATTCGCGAGATCGAGCAAGCTGCCTCTGCGCATTTGCCACAAAAGGCTCAAGATCAAGTCGTCCAGCAACAGTCGACAAGACAACTCGATGCTATCCTTCTTGGTTTCTTTTACTCCGACCATCTCCATCCAGAAACTCTGAAAACGTTTCCTCCCGAGATTCCCGTTATAGTAACCGCACCTGGAGCTGCCATAATCGAGCCATGGAATCACTTCAAGACCATCAAAATCATCAACAACTTCGATTCCTCGGCGACAACTTGGAACTCACCAGACCTGCATCCAGGCGATCCTGTTCCCAGCTGGTTCACACCGACGATGATACTCGGCAAAAGCGAACTAAACTTTGTCTTTGCCATAATCTGGTCTCATACCATCAACGGCGAAGAAATCCACGAAGCAATTCTAGACTCTCCTCACGGCGTGCAACTCGACGCAAAACCCCTCGAAGCATTCCTTGCATCAGAGCCCAAGACAAAGAAACTAGCTATGCTTCACGGTCTTAAAGAAAGTCATACTGGCGGTATCCAAACATGTTATGGCGCAAAAGGTGGTCTTGGACTGCATCGAAAGGTTGGAGGCGTAGAACATTGGGTTTCGACGAACTCTTCTGAGCTGAAATATACTGGGATATTCATGAGACTTGTTTGGACTACTGATACGCCGAGGACAATTGAATGGGCGTTGGAGGAGGAGAAGAAGGAGCATCCTGATGAAGAGTTGTCTGGGCCGCCGAATTTCATCAATGTGCCGAATGGTGCATCGACGGTTTTGACGTGTTAATGAAGCTGCACGTTTTGTTATTCGCCAGACGAGAACCAGCTTGTTTGGGCTGGGTGTTACAAATCGGTTTGTTAATGAGCATATGACTACTTGAATACGATATCATTCATTGCGGAGACAGATGCCTGAGCCTGAAAACTGGTGTCCCTACCGTTGAGATTGAATGCATCGAAAAGATGAGGCTTGTGAACATTATTGCAATGGCTTCTCAGAGACAGCGGCCCAGGATTGTTCGTGGTTGTTGAACAGGGTGGATCGCGCTGGGAAACAGCGGACATCCCCTAAATTATAGCGGCCCGTTTCACTTTCTTTCCAGCAGCGCAGTCAATCCCGGGCGCATTCTGACCAGCAGCACATTATCAAGGCCTGACATGAACAACAAAGCGGTCGGGGATCTGAAAGAAGAATACTGTCGTAAGGATATTGCTGTTTGGGTGAAGAGATTTAAGCGGTACTGTTCAGGCACGGATTGTCATGAGTGGATGCACTGGAGTAGACAATCGGTATCCTGTAAAGGAGAACTCTATCATCAAAGGTTTTAATAGCTTAAATTCTTATGAACAATTCATGCGTGAGCTCAAGTCTACCATGTGTGTATCGACATGATCCTCTATGATCTGGGGCATTGTGCTACATCTGATCTGGCGCGTCGCTCGATGAATGCATCAACCCTCAATGACACCATCTATGAATCCTTCCAACACTATAGCAGGTGTCGTAGAAGTGCAATCAAGTTGCCGATGGGGTTATTGAGTCTGCGCGACGCGTTGTCGGGGACAGATGATGCAGATGCGCTGGGTGTTGACGCGGCGGTGCTGCCGCTCGTTGTTGGTTCGGTAGCGGAAGCCTTGTCGGGCTTGGTAGCGGATGTTGTCTCTTCGGCCTCAGTCGTAGGCGCAGAAGTCGTCTCAGCATTGGTGGTAGAGACTTCAGTCGCAGTCGTCACAACAGCGGTTTTGGTCGAACCCGTCAATTCAGCAGTTGAACCCGACGATCTCTCATCACCCTCATTGCCGGGCAACAAGTTCACACCAAGGTTGACAACACTGTAGGCATCTTCTCCACCACAGGCATCATTGGAGTATCCAGGGCAAGGCGTGTCGCACTTGTCGTCGTCTACCAAGGCAGACTTGGCCGGGTAGACATCAGCGCAAATGCACTCCACATCCTTGAGTATGGCTACAGTCTTCTTCTGTTTCTGGCAGTAGTCGGCACATGAGCCGACGGAGTTGAAGGTGTCGGATCGTCCATCGACTTGGCTGGGGAGGGAATCGAAACAGCCCTGTGGGGTGATTTCGCCGAGAACAGGGCTTTCGGCGGGGCTTTGGAGCGCGTCCCTGGCGGCGACCAGCGAAAGAAGAGAGAGCAACGCGACTTTGGTGAATGCCATGGTCGAAATGGAATTGTCTTGTATCTCTGGGAATGAAGAGTGAAGGGCCGAAAGGCGTTGTTTATATCCGTGAATTCTCCTCGGTCGGTCGGTGGGGGAGTTAAATTAGATGCTTGGAGTGCCAATCATGGCGACCCGCTGTCGTCGATGAAACGCGAAGGATCGTGCTTGCTTTGCTCAGCCTTGTGCAACAGTGTCATAGGCATCACCATGGTGCCATTGCAGCAGCTGATTCAGTGGAAGGGAGCCTTGGCCATATAAAAGAAACATCGCACCAGACGCGTTGCTTCTGTTGGCATGAAACAGTGAATGTTAACACGGCGAAGGAAGATTAAGGGAGATTTCTCGAGTCCTTCAATTGAGCTATGACCTCTGCCAAGCAGCAATTTTCCGAACCACCGTTTTTTAGTGTCTGAAAAGTGAGAAGCGCCGGATCCCGATTCACTGGTGACATGCCAAGTGATTACGCTGGGGGGGGGGCGACAAATTGGACATGAGGCTCTGTCGCTATCTACGAGGAAACGCAATTGCCAAACAAACTTATGGAGCCGTTTGAGCGCTGACAACGTCATCGCTTATCGGACCAGCTGACAACTAATAAATTGGGATATAATAGCAGCCTGCAAAGCGAGGCCATGAGCGTAATGTGATAAGTGGCTGCTTCTCTTTTCAGTCTTCAAAGAACAATTTCTCATCGCGTTTAACAGGGAGATAAAGGAGTGGCTTTGATACTTGAAACATAAGTTGTGACAGAGACACCTTTCTTCATCGCTAGTTGATTGGCGGGTTTAGCTCAGTTGGGAGAGCGTCAGACTGAAGTCAAACTTCGGGAATCGCAATCTGAAGGTCATGTGTTCGATCCACATAAACCGCAATCTTTTCTATTTTTGCATCCTTCCTCTTTTTAGGTACACATAAATATCTTTTTCATCAAGACCTTAAGAATTTTAACAAGAAAGCATCGTTTTTGGTGCGGTAGCTGCCCTTCTTTGCCTGTGTATTATCCATGCATAACCAACTCTTGCCCATCATTGAGATAGCACCTAAGCCTCATGTAGCTTGCATGCAATGATGAAGTATTGTGCCGGGATATCCGTGTTGAGTAACTTTAAACTTAAGCATCTTGCAGCTCAATACGAGCTATGAATCGGTCATTGAAGACCTCGTATTACATTACAGACGCATCGACACGAGTGCAACCAATACGTGTGTTTCAGCTGAAGTCTAGCTAGCACCGACGCCCCGATATAAAGTTCTTCGGGGCCTTTTCTCTAAACGACGCAGCACAGGAACATAAATACAGTGACGTATCCCGTGGTTGTTACTGTTACGTGTAGGTAAGCTGTGACAGAAGGACACCTCACATCAATGACCACGGTCGTGTGAATGGACTTGCCAGGTTGAGGACATGCATGGAACAAGCCAAACCGCCGGAGAACGCGCCAATCGATGTAGCCGAAGCCAAACCGAAGCTCGACAAGCCACCCGCAGCTCGCCCTGCCGATCGATGCTTACCCCTCTGACGATGAAGTCATGATGAATGGACCTGTCTGACATTGGATCCCAAAGCGTCAATTGAGTTCAGCTCAGATGCACAAAGAATTCCCAATGGACGTCCCGAAGAAACAAAGTGAGACCATCGCCACCAACGCTCTCCCCGAGATTAGTATCTCTGCGCATGCCTTGTAACAAGTGCAGTGAAGGAGCTCTTGGTAGCACTGCGTCAGCTTCATCGACAGCTGAAAGCTCTTTGAACTATAGGGCTGACAAGCTGACAAGGTACCAAGGCAATGTCGCTTGGGCTTGAACTATAACGCCAAGGCGTCGGAAAATACGATGCACCCATTGAGGTGCAATTGACCAATGGAAATACCATAGAATGAGTGCTGCACATTGTGCTGTAGACATTGACCTGCTTGACCTCACCTTGAGCTCAACAAATTTCAAGCCCCCTGTAGCTACTATGCCAAAAAATAAACAAGAAAACATGCTGTTGACCTAGTGGATCGCGGTCGCTCGCCAACTTGCTTTGAGGCTGTATCCGTTCTTCGGGTGTCCCTATGCGTGGTCAGCCCTCTGGTCCTCCCGATTGGCCTGGATATCTCCAGACTTTGCACCCTCGATCTGAGCCGCTGCAACCATTGAACCTTGAGCTTGAGCTAGAGTTTTGGACGAATAGAAACGTGAGTTGCACGTGCGTGCCGGAGTCTTTCCAGCCTCCCAAACGGCGGAGCTCGCGTGGTGGCTCATTCCAGCTCCATTGCCCTTCTGTTCTTGGTGTTTTATTGGACTTTCTCAAGAAGTAGTCACCTATATAAGCTGATATCCCCCATGTTCTTTGTCGAGTATCCACGAAAGACTGATCACTTATCGCTGATTATCACTCTTTAGACAACCTGGGACTTCGTATCACTCACAGCCTACGTCAATACAAACTTACAACCAGTTTCAAAATGAAGTCCTTCTTCCTTTTCACCACTGCCCTTCTCTCCTCGTCTGTTTTGGCGCAGTCATCTTCCCAGGCTGGAGGACAAGGCGGCGGCAGTGTCCTTCCCCAGTGCGCAGTAAGCCAATCATACCACTACTCTTAAGGCTGAACTGACATCTTCAAACAGCAATCTTGTGCCCTGAGGGCCATCCAAGATAGCAAATGCGGCTCTGAGGATCCCGGTTGCGTCTGCAAAGCTCCGGGATTCGCCGAATCCTACGTCAGCTGCGTCAACACCAACTGCAGCCCTAGTGATGCCGCTGGTGAGTTTCGATACTCTCGTCGACATAACGTGAGCATACGCTGATCTCAATAGCTGCGATTGCTGCTAGCATTCGACTCTGCCAGGCTGCTGGCGTCACTATCACCGCCGTTCCGAGCGCCACGGCTGAGTCTCAGGCTCCTGGATCAACATCTGTTGCACCCGTTGTTCCCGTCCCGCCTGTCGTAAGTCCAGATACTTTGAGAAGACTTGATGGAGAAGCTGACCTGTGTAGGTTCCTACTGCCCCTCCTGTCGCCACTCCAACTGCACCTGCGCCTATTCCTTCTACACCTGCGTCTATTCCTTCTACACCTGTTCCCACTGCTGGTGCCAACTCTCTCAACACCGGAGTCGCGGCTATTGGAATGGTATGGGCTTCCGTGATGTTCTTGTTTGCTCTTATGTAGGAAGATCAATTTTCACCAAGCAACGATGCTTTGCCTTAAAATGGTCCAAAATATTGTGAAACGCACATCGGATTGGATACGCGAAAGATGAAAGGATCTATACGTACATACGCACAATAGTATTGATATTTGTTCTGAAACATGGTTTTCTCTTTGCGATTTGGATATACTCAAATTCCACGCGCCCGGATGCACGATAATGGGGCTTGTCCTTGAAGTAGCATGAGACTTGAGACCTTGCACCCAGCAAACTACCACCTCCGCAAGTTCAAAGTCTTCAAACACCTTTAGAACCTAAACAGATCATCCCGTTTGTTTGTTTGTTTATGTTTATTTTCTAGTTTCCGTTTGCCCTTTCTCAAGGACATCGTGGTATCCATGACAACCACTTGCTGGCACTGTAGGAGATTGGGCATTTTCATAAACACGACGCAAGCACAGACTTCTTGATGATTTCAATGACCCACAGCCTATGAAATGTAGGCTGTGATGTTACACAGCATGAAGAGTGAGGCTGCAGTCACGTGCTTGCGTTGCACAAGCGCGCTACTGCTCATATGAGAGTTCTGCTCTTCTCTCTTCCTTTCACCTCACTCTTCACTTCATCCCCATCACTGACATCCTGTTCACTGCTACGCACCCTGCCTCACTTCTCAACCTCGTCGCAGTCATGGCCCACGCTGAAGAGGCAGCAGCCTCGCCAGCCCAGCCATCTCCCACTCCAGCCGCAACCCCGGCCGCTGACCTCGAGGAGATTGTGATGCCGCCGAACTTCACTCACAACCCCAAAGAAATCCAATCTGTTCGACGCTACGTTCGACGCATTGAAGCCGTCATCGGCCAGAAGCCATGGGAGTGGTTGGCCGAGTTCCCACCAAAGCAATAGAGTCGCAATTTGTTGGGAGACTTGGCCAACCTACTCGAAGAAGCCATCAAGGTTTGCGACGCGTCTGCCATCAAGGATCATCTCCATGAGAGAGCCAATCCACCACGCGGTGGTCAGCATAAGGTACTTCGTGCGGGAGATATCAAGGCCGCCAGGGAGTTCTTTGGTGCAACCAAGGGCGCAAACCTCACTCGAAGTGCTTCAAAGCCTGCTGCTCAGCGTGAGGATGACCGTGAGATTGGAGCGACGGATGACGATGACGATACTATGGCCTACGAGCATTCTCGTAGAGGAGGTCTCACAAGCATCTTGGCTTCCATCAGTTTACAGAAGCTCTCAGATGCCGCCCTTGAGCATGGAGCCACCGCAGATGGTATCGTCGCCGCCAATCACAACGAAAACACCATCGCGCTGGCCGAGTCCACTTCACCCGAAGAGGCTCCTGCAACACCCTCACCATTGCCTTATCCGCCCACCAACAAGCGAGACCGTTCTATCTCATCGACGTCCGTCAACCCGTCCAACAAACGTGTCTGCAACGAGGCGGCATCATCTCTGCAGCCTCTTCAGCCAGCCGCTCCTACTCTTCCCATGATGACTGATCAGCACAATGTAAGTTCTCACTCCGTACCTGCAATGAGGGCTTTGCTGATAGGATGACAGTCTGACGACCATTCTGCGCTGATCCAGGCGACTGACGCTTTTCATCATCACCTGGAGATGCATGTGCAAGACTTGCGCAAGCAACACGAGCAACGCCTCGGCATTGTGGAACTTCAACAGCACCACATAAACCACGAGCTCGAGATCTACCAACCCAGCCTCGAGGCTTATCGGATCGCACAAGAATATTCCCTCCAAGCCGAGGCGAAAGTCGAAAACCTCCGAGCGGATAAAGAGAAACTCAATACCCTCCTCAAAAGTCTCGCCGACTCGAAAGATCTCTGGATGGCATTCTCCGCTGAGAAGTTTGAGGCCATGGAGCAAGACTTGGTGGCTCAGTTGGCCGCCAAAGTCAGCGCTCTCGAGGAAGCTGAGGCGGAACTTGGTGCGGCTCAGTTGACATGCCATCAGACAGAAGAGGCTGCGCGCCCTGCTCTGGAGTTTATGAACAAGGAGACGCCCCAGCTCGAGGAGAAAAAGACAACTGCTGAGAGACTCAGCGTGTATGTCACGTACACCGAGTTTCTTCAACTTTTGGTCAGAACTAGTCCTTCGGCCATTGCAACTCTTGACAATTTACTCCAGGAGAAGGGTTCGTCGCTCCAAGAACTTCGTGCGGTGATTGAACAGCATGGACAGTTCGCCCAGGTGGATGGCCAGCAGGCTGACGTACCCTTGGCCTGAGGTTTGAGTTAGCAGGCGCCATTTCTCACCAGTTATGAGCGAAACTCGATATCTTGTCAAGGGGTAAGGAATGGGATACCGCTCGGACTATAGTCTTCACAAGACTCATGTTGTATCGCTTGTTGGCAAGGATATGTTCAGTTTCGCATCAATGGCATTGGCATGGAGCATTGGTCTCGTCATCTCTGATTTTGGTATGATTGAGCTTTTTGTACGCATCGCAATGGCGAACGAGATTTCAGAGGGAGGAATGTTTGGTAGTCAGGATGCAGGGCCAAGGTTGGCATATTGGTACCTGCCCGAATTACTTTCGGCTACAATGATAGTTTTAGCAGAGAGGAGCTGGCATGCTCCTGTACAAGTACCATACAATACGAATATATTTACGCTGATACGGTACAATGCTCTCATGCTTCGCCAACTTCTGTCTTGATACATTCATTTCTATTCCGCAACTCACTGTAGCCAAGATATGATTTCTGTTTAGAGCCGTGATGAGGGTGCTCTGTTGGGATCCAACTCCTCCTTCGCCTTCTCCCTCAGCTCCCGTCTCAAGATCTTCCCGGACTAAAGGCACAAAGTTAGCGACATGGTACAAAGCTCGTAGGTATCACTCACCGGGTTCTTGGGAATCATATCCACGAAAGACACGCCGCCCTTGAGCCGCTTATACTTGGCAACTCTAGCCTCCATCCAATCAATGATCTGCTGCTCGGTGATTTGTGATCCAGGGACCTTGACGAGATATGCGCGAGGGACCTCATCGCCATCATATGGTACACCAACGACCGCAGCGTCCGCAATCTCGGGATGATCTAAGAGCACGGCTTCCAGTTCTGCTGGTGCCACTTGGTTGCCCTTGACTTTGATCAACTCCTTGATTCGATCGACGATATGGAAGATGGCTCCGGGTTGGAAGGACTCGACGAATGCGATGTCGCCTGTCTTCAACCACCTCGTACCATTCTCATCAACATGAATCGTCGAAGCTGTAGCACTGGGATTCTTCCAATATCCCTTCATCAACGTAGGTCCAGTGACCCAAAGCTCACCTCGCTCACCGGGCTTCGTCACTGGCGTCTTTCCGTCCAAATGCATGAGCCTTGCCGAATAGTTCGGCGCTAATTCTCCCACCGCAGAAGGATCGCACACAGCCCGAGGGTCCCAAGTCATACTGGTGCAGGTAACCTCTGTCATACCCCAACCTTGTTTCACGTTGACGCTTCCATTAGTCCACAGTCTCTCAACGCTCGTGGCAACTTCTTTACTCAAAGGTGCAGCGCCAGATCCAACGCGCTCGACACTGCTGATGTCGTACTTCTTGACGAGCGGGTGCTTTGATAGGTACACCAGAATGGGAGGGACGCAGAGAAGGCTTGTGATGCGGAAGCGCTGAATGTGCTGTAGCATCTTCTCAAAGTCAAAGGCCGGCATAACATATGCAGGGATGTTTAGATGGGGATAGATGGAGATGAAGTATGTTTGCGCGTATGCATGGTACATGGGGAGAAAGGCGAGGCCCTTGGTGCGCTTTTGGAGCTCGGGATCAGGCTCTAGGTCTGAAATGAGGACAACACCTAAGCCGTTGGCGACGTATGAGGTGTGACTAATCTCGACGCCTTTAGGAACACCGGTCGTGCCGCTGCTGTAGTTGAGGCAGCAGCCCGCTGTCTCTGGGTCTGCGGGTTCGGTCCATTTCCAGTTCTTAGCTTGTGCTTGGTTATCGGCTACAAGATCAGTCCACATGCGAAGACCATCTTTCGTAATCGAGGGTGCAATCGGTGTTGTTCCAACAGGCGGAAGCACAGACGGATCGATAACAAAGATGTTCTCCTTTGGAAGGCCGACCGTCTCAGCAGCCTCTAAAGCGGTAGGTAGTTGGTTTGCAACAACAAACATATGCGTGCTCTCAGAGTTTTTGAGTTGATACGCAAGCTCTCGTGGTGTGAAGGCGGGATTGGCGCCGGTGAACATAGCACCGCTCATCAAAACACCGAGAAAGACGCATGGGAAGTAGATGTTGTTGGAGGAAAACATAAGCACTCTGTTTCCTGGCTGCAGACCGGCTTTCGTGAGACCGAGGGCAACTTGTTTGGAGAGAAGTCGGAATTGCTCCTTTGTGAGGAAGTGCGTGTCTGGACGGTCTGCGTCGATGAGGATGGGCTTATCGCCCTCTTCCATGGGCCCGCAGGCTGAACCAAAGACCCATTGCTGCAGGGAGCATTTTGGAATGGGTTTAGACCATCGTGAATGAAGGGCCATATTGAATAGAGATATCAGACAAACTTGAGAACGAAGCAAACAGATTTCACAGTCATTCAAGGGAGATCAGGCATGTAAAGAGGAGAATTACAGATCGATTACGAGCTATTTAACACATTTCCCCAGCCTGCATCAAGCTGAGCAGCAAATCCGGGGTAGACCAAGCCATTTCGACCACCAAACGGTGAATTCCCATGGCAAACCCGTGTGGGGTAGCAACCAATCTTTCCTCCTTTTGGCACTGCAACCCCGCGTTTCGACCCTCGGCTCGCTTGCGACGATCGAGCAGTCGAGAAAAAAAGCCGAGGCACGATCTGGTGGACGGATTGAGAGATAGCTTGGATTGGAAACGGCCGCGGGTTCCTTGATCCGAAAAAGGTGGGGGAGGTTGAGTGTGGAGGGTTAGGTTTGCGAGATGGAAGTGAGGATTTGGTGATTCGGTGAATGTTTGAGTTTCGGTGGTTTCAATTGATGTAACATGGTAGGAAAGTCAATCTGAAGGATTTGGTTCTGAGTGGTTGGACAAGAAGGTTCACGGCTCAAAGTGGTAATGAATTGATAAGTGTGTACCACGCTGACTCAGGCTTGATCAAGGATTAATTGAAGACCAGTGACATGTAATACAAACAATCTCACTCTTGTCAATCGCTCATCCTTCTAGATATGGGCTGTCACCACGACTTGGGAGCCATCTGTGCGTCCTCATTCACCCAAGACCTTCTGCCTTGGCTGCCAAGACTAAGTCGCGAAACGAAAGTCGAGTCTGCATGTAAATCAGCAAGTTATAACATTTCCGCCGCAGCCGAACGGAAACTCACCGCTTGTTGCCCTTATCGGTTGTGGTAGTCCTGTAATGATGCTGCTCCTCTGGGGTCATGGCGTCCCATTTCTTGGCCTTCTGGTTGTTCCTCCACCTGTAATAAAAGAATGTCCCGGGATATTGAACGAGCTGTGAAGATGTGAGTCTGGCTTCATAATTTACAAAGGCGATGATCGATACTTACACACATCCATACACAAATGACGAGAAGACCTGTATTGGCTTTGAAGTATCGTGGCGAGTCGCTTGGCTGATAGACTACGACATGTTAGTGACTTAGCTCACGCGGTGCCATGTGAACTTACTGTTTGCTCCGATCATTCCACTGACTTGAACCCACATATTGTAGAGTCTATACATTGTTAGAACAATAATTAGTAGGGAAGTAAGGAACCTTACGATGCTGAAACTGTTCTGTTCTGCACGGACCCCGCATTCCTGCTCGTCCATGCGACTTGGATGGGATGAGTGCTGGGTGCTGTTAGCAAGCCTTCTGCTGTCGGGAGAAAGGATACTCACTATGGAAAAGACAGGAGCACGGTCGAGATGGCAAAATAGGCCCAAGGGCCGATCGGGTCAGGCAACGCAATCAGTGCCACGAAGCATGGGAGCAACCAAGCATCCTCCGCCATTGATACGAAACTTCGGTTGTTAACGAGCTCACTGAACGCTGTGATGGCAAGCATTGTGATGCAGGATCCGACGATATATGGAATGGACAGAAGGTTGGTCTCGATGACGTTGAAGCCCAGTCCACGGAAGGATAAAGTGAGGTATTGGTTGACAGGGTACTTTGGCAGACCAAAGAGAAGACCGAGGGCGTAAAGCGGCCACATATCGTAGTCTTTGGTGCATTCCCAGATTTGACGGACGGATAGACCTTGTCGATTGTACATGCCTCCCTTCTGTGGGTCGTCACGGATAACTGCGCATCATCAGCATTAAATGTTGACGCAGGTCAAGGAGCGGCTCACCAGAATTGACAATGATCTTCTGTTCATGCTCGGTGAAGTATCCCTTTGGGTTCCACCAACTCTTCGTTCTAGCTGGTGATTGAGGCATCAGGAAGAAGGATGCAACGCCGATCAGGACTGCGATTCCGTTAGCATAGCGATTCTCATGGACGGGATCTCAACCTACAGGTGAACGCTCCTTCGATGAGGAAGAGCCATCTCCAACCTTCATATCCAAGCATTCCGCGCATGGAGAGCATACCGACGGCAGCGAAACCAACTCCAATATCGACTATACAATGTCAGCCAGTGGATTCCAAAGAAAGTATGGATCTAGTCACCTACCGAGTTGCGAAGACATCCAAAACCACGCTAGTCGGATTGGGAGCTGGAAAGACTTTTAGTATCACGTGCGTGTCTCCAGACGAGTCAACATACCCTTGTGCCAGTATACCAGTAACTAAGATACAAGATAGTGTCCCTACGACCCGTTAGTCTGATGCAGAAGCTCGGGCCAGAGATATGCACTTACGGAATGAAGCCTCCTTGGAATGTAGCACTGAGAAGTGAGCAGTTTGTCACCATTAGAGCTTCAGGAAACTTACATCAAGTATCGTGTAGCAAGAAATGATGCGCGGCCCTTCAGGAAGAACTGCATCGCGGATATCAGGCTGAAGATACAAAGCTGGATAGGAATCCACATATCGGGTCCAATTCTGGTTACCAATTTAGCAACACGACTAGCAAGAGTATTTGACAAACTTACCGCTTCGAGATCAGCTGTGAAGGCAACTCAGCAACAAGGAAGCCAACTCGAGAAATGGTTTGTCCAATATTCTGCCACCGTCAGCGTTGCGTCTCCCATCTGTTGAAAGGAACTCACGTAGTCGGCGTGTGTAATGCCTAAATCATCAAGCATGTTATCCGATACAGCGTTTTGGATATTATTCCTGTCAATGTTCAAC